TCATTGTTACGGCTATTTACTGTTACGCAGTTTTCTCTACTAAGGAAAGAATAGGATAAAGAGTTTAATCTAACAGTCTAATTTTTCGAATAATGGGGAAATGTAATAATACGTTATCTGTCTAAAAATCCAGTAATACGATATTTCGAGCAACGGAAAGCGCAAAACGTTATTGAGAAAGCAGTTAGTCTCAAAAATCAAGTTGTACTAGACGTTAATGTACGAACGGTGTCAATATAATGTACGTGTGTGTGTAAGTATGTACGTCTATCTTTTAACATAGTTCTTCACCATACGGTTGCTTTGCTGTGAAAGTAAACTGAAAAATGGATGGTGTCCAGGACGAAACAGCCATTCAGACGTACAGAGAATGCAAGGGACGAAGATGGAGATATATGTTGTAAGCGCTGATGGAACCCATCACTCTCTCGCAAATCTGATTACGTTGTCCCGCTAGCTGCGACCATATTCATCCACCACTACTCTTTGAGAGAACGTACCTATAGTAGTAGGTAGCCTCACACGTGCGCGTGTACGTCGCACAGCTCACCAGACTCCGATGAACCGCGACCATCTCTCTAAAATCGAATAGAGGTTTGTCTCAGCCTGCATTGATTTCCGCCTCGTTTAGCATCTAGGTATTCTAGGTACGAGGGATTCGGGGAAAACGCAGGGAAAGAGAAAATCGAGCGAGTATTTACAGACAATTCCGGTCTATCACCGGAAGCACCATGGAATGAGGAAATGACGAAACACAGAAATTAATTGACTCGATCGTTGCCGTATGTATTGGCGCACGTGTGTCATATAAAAGGGAAGATTTTATAAAAATAAAAATAAAATCCTCGGAACAATTTGATTCTTTTTTTAGTTATGTTCGGCAAAAAAATATTTTTTTGCGAATAAAATAAAACTTAGAAACCTTTGGCTGTAATGTTTATTCCAATAATGAATAATTTATTGGTTTTTTTTTTTCTAAATTGTGTGTAAGAAAGTTGACTTATGTTTTGCCTGTGCAATAACCAAATCGCAGCGATCAATTTATAATTTGTATTAACATTTTCGCTGTTAATACGCCGCGTACAACAATGACACCGCTTCTAAGCTAGCAGGACCAAATCGGCAGAATCAAACCGGACATATCAGAATATTTAGTACCCATTTTGTACTAATTTGTATCACTAAATAATAACAATTTTGTATCCCGTGCCATTTCGGAGAAAATCGTGGCGCTGCTACTTTAGCATTAATAAGCTAGAAAGACCACAAGAAAAAAAAAGAAAATTAAATACAGAAATTTGAAGGACTGAATTTCAAGCTCTATTTTTAGAAAAGCCATAAATTATTACATTTCTTCGTCTCAATTTTAACATCAGATTCTCTGATAAAGTTGATGTGGATTCTTATCTGAGGGAAAGTATCGAGAAACCAATATTATAGTTCCGCAGTTACAAACGATTGAAGATGAAGCATTTTCAACGACTTTCAGCAAAGTCTCAAGCGGCAAGCAGGTAGCAAAACCATCTTCTTTAGTTGACTTAATGGAGATTTTACTTTAAAAAAATTTTAATTTAAAGTTTAGTTATATCAAGATATAAAAAATTGAAGATTGAGAAATTGTAGCCAATAATAATCTTTCCCTTGACATTTTCATTAAAAAAAGATTTACTTTATTTTTATATACGTCAGAGAATTTGTAGAATTTGTAGAAAATCGCGAATTATAAGAAATCCTATATTATTATTTAAAATAATGTATTTTTTCAGTAAAAATATTTCTTTTGTGTCAGTAAACCATATGCAATATTAATTCTACTTTAAAGTCCACAACCTTAAAAAGTTGTAAACATTGTTTGCACGCCCTTCGCTAGCTTGTCTCATCAGCCTTAAATGTTTCCGAGTCATTCGCACTATACGATTCGATGACGTTCGCCATCGATCTGTCCCTCATTCTTCAAAATGCGTTATTTTAGAGAGAAGTTGTAACGAGGTACGATCGTACGGGTTACTAGGTCACCCGTTAGACAAGTTTAATATGCTTTAGGATCGCGAGGAATTTCAAGACCGCCGCATTCTCGACTCACCTCTCTCGCAAGAGTTTTCCTCGCACCGTTATCCGGGCATAAGAACCATCTCAAAGAAGGAAGGAAATTGTTTGAGAGAAGAAAGATGGCTGCCGGAATACGAGAAAGACGGAGAAAGCTCGTGAGAAAGAAAAAATCTACAATGGGACGTGTCAAGGGCTTTTTTTTTTTCGTGTTGCTTCGGATCCGCCCTTTATACGCAAACTATAGGATAAGTGAATGTCGGAGGAGCGTGAAAGAAAAGTCTCTGAGAAGCCTTTCCCCCTCTATAATTTCCGACGCTAACTTCGGAAAAGAATTTTCCTGCTATCTCTGGAGAGCCGACGCTTCGATATATTACTGCTATATGGTTTCCATTAAATGTTAATAAAAAAAAAGAGATACCGCGATATAAATTTTGTGCGTTTTTGTATACTACAATATGTATTTATCTACCGCATTTCTACCATATTTGTATGGTATTGCTAGCAAATTGTTAATTAACTACTAATCGAAAAGAGATGAAATGTTTTGCAATTGACATTTAGATATATAGAATTAGTAATATTCCTTTGATGATGTAACAAATTTAACTTTAATAAAATGAAATTGTTATCGACAGATGTCATACATACATACATCTTGTTGGAACGCATCATTTACAGTAATCTTGGCATTAAATTTTACATTAATGTTAAATGGGTTAAAATGGTATACCGTTGGCGCAACTGTAGTCATCATTACCTTTTCTAAGCTAGCAAGACTAAATCGGCAGAATCAAACCGGACCTATATATAAATTGTTTGATTCTGCCGATTTGGTCCTGGGGCCATATTCTGTTCCGCTAAAATCCGCTTACCGACAATTGTCGGTAAGCGGATTTTAGCGGAACAGAATATGGCCCCTGCTAGCTTAGAAGTTAGAAGAGGTGCCTTTCGCCTGCCTCTCTTTCTTGATATATCATTTTTTTCCTTTTTGATATATGATTTTTGGCGCTCTACATGATAAAAATTCGAGTCAAATTTCAGATTTGGTTATTAATAAAATAGAATATATATTTACGATATCTCAGACGTAAGAAATATTTGCATAATGAAATAATAAGGAAATGCATATTTTTAATTAGTTGGGTCTTGCTATAGTCAATATATTAATTTCATAGATGCTGTAGATTTTGAAGAACGTTAAAGACTTATATACGTATATCTATGTATATCATGTTAATGTCATGACTGCTTGGGAAATAATTCAAGTATCATAAAACATGATTCAAATATACATATAGATTTGTTAAAGAGGCATAAATTAAAAGCTGGGTACAGCGCGTTGCTCTTTGCAGTTTGCAGCTTTGCTCGATTTACAATACCTCATAAATATGGACTAGACAACAGAAAGTTCAAAGCTTATCGGATTTTTTATTTAAAAAAGTGAACATCCAGGTACCGACCCGACATTAGCAGCTATATATTATATCAGAGATTGGATTTTATGAAGCTGATGATCAACATATTTATAATGTTATAACGAAAATTGCAAAGTCAGTAATTGTAAAAATCATTAATCCAATTTACGTGCGTCACAAAGTAAAAACTTTCAAGGTAATGGACTTGTAACAAATGATTTATATACGTGTGAATTATTCATGATAACTCGCTAAGTTTGATTCTAAAACTTTGCCAACTATCGGCAATAATGAACAGACTGGTATATATTACGATGCGCGATAGGAAATCTTGGTGAAATAATTTTAAATGCCTCTTATAATAAATGTATTGAATTAAATATCTATTTAGATAGAATAAAAAATCGAAATATTTACAATTTTTGTATATTTGTTTTTTATTTTTTATTTATATTCCGCAGCTAATAGTCCAATTATAAAAATGATAATATCTGATTAAAAACTTTTTTATATTATGAATTAATCGAATAATATCTCCAGCGCAATACCAAAATAGAGAGATTTTAGTAATCTCGGTTACCTTGACACAATGACACAAATGTAACTAGAAGTAGTCGAGCTCTTGGCTGACCCACTTCTTCTAGTTATTGTCGACGAATTTTTATTATATAAGCATGCATCTTTTTCCTATAAACTGAAACGAGAACAATATAATAACATTTTTGTGTACATAATAATATTAATGTTCAATTTTATAAATAATATTATTTATACGTGCGTAATAATATTATTTATAATATTATTTATAAAATTGTAAACTAAAATAATATTTACAATATAATTTCGGAACATTTTCTATATTATATTTTTTTTCCGTTATAGAAGCAATCCAAGTAATCGATTTCTAGCTAAATTAAAGGTAAATTTTAAAAGTATCTTTGTAATTTCTCCTTCGGCTTTTGTTCGCAAAAAAGATAAAGGCGAAACAGAAATCAACCATTGAATAGATATACTTGAAAATTTCTTTTGCCTTCTTCTCAATTTCAAGCTGAAATCTTACCACTAATTGCCACCATTGTTCCCACTAGCAGAAAGAGTATCAAAGAAACAAAAGCAAAAGTGTTACTTCGTCGACACGTGGCCTCTCTACATTTCTGCTTGTATTCGAACGTAATATTCTCTTTTTAATTTGCAATCCATCGATCGCGCAGCTATGTATACATATATTAATTCATTATTAAAATCAATCAAGCATTCTTACTTAAAAAAAGCAGAGATTATTTCTTAAATAAATTTTTATTAAACGTTTGTACATATAAAAAATTTATATTAAAGTGCCATATACACACTATAACGTGTGTTTTTATATTATTGCGATATTGGTATCAATAACAATCAAATATCTTTATATTCGCAATTGCATATCAGTTAAATAATGATCAGTTATAAATAAAGAAAACACATTTTAATTGTTTATTTTTTTATCTCTTAATTAATGTAGTTAAAATGCTAATTTCGTAAATTTGTGTGCCTCAGGGTTTACAATTTCGGGTTTAGCTATGGGTTGGGCTCTTACCGGACTCGGAGTAGCTTTGATCATCGTCATTGCTGCTGGCGCCACGCTTGTCCTTTGCAAAAGGTAACAATAGTAATTTTTATATAATAAAATTTAATAATATCGCTCATCAATCCAGTTATTACTATAATAAAAACTTATAATTGAAATAGAGAATCACAGGTTTTTTAAAGAAATATTCATACATGCACATATTTTATATATAATATAGCGTACTGAATGTAATTAAGTAAGCAAGAAAGCTATCAGTTCACAAAAAGTAACTACGAATCCCACCCTTAATTCTCAATTTTTCTTTGATAATCTCTTCTTTATCCGTAATCGTTGGCGTAAGAAAATAATGGTGTACCCCTTTAGAAACCTGGTAAACGCGCTAATGCGTGCAACAGGTGAAAGCGTCATTCGACGAACAATTATTACACTAACAATTTGGTATTTGCCCAAGCACAAGCTTGATCCATATTCTTCCTCGGAATAATAAATCAAATCTTTGTTTCACCTAGAAGTGTATTATATGAGAACAATGAGGGATAACTGTGAGTTTAAGTAATGTTGAATTGCTGTAAGCATGTGAATGATTCGATTAGTCTAAAGAACAAGATAAAAAACAGGATGTGGAAAACGCAATTGAGAAAAATGTGTAAGATAAAAAAATAATATTATTTATTTAAAATACATAGATATTACATGTTAAGAGCATTCTACATAATAAAAAACAAAAGATATACAGAGAAATTAAAAAAAAAGAAGTGATTCATTTAATATTCTTTACAATAAAAATTATGTAGGAAATTAAAAACACACACATACAATTCACATCATAGTTAACCCTTATTTGCCACACTGGGATCAAATCAACCCCACGACCATATTCCCTTAATTTTAAGTACCGAAACCTATGAGGAGCGGGTCTATAGCGACATCTGTCAATAGTTTAAGCAATGAATTTTTTTGTAAAAACAGCCATTTTTTCATTTTTCTTTTACTATTTTAATTTTTGTATCATACATAATTTTAATTTTTGGCTATATAACCTACATAACTTTTAAAAGTAAGCTTTTAAGAAGTTCTAAAAAAATTAGCAAGTTAAAATATTGAATAGCTTATTTGTTATAACAATTTTGGTCGCTAGGGTAGATTCCACCCCAATGTGGCAAGTACGTGACGTCTACAGAAGTGTGGCAAGTAAGGGTTAAATATAATTTTATTATTATAATGTTTAAATAAATCCATTTAGATTACGACAAATAATCAATCATAATAAAGTAATCAAAAATCTTATGAACGAAAGAATCGAGTGACGAATCAGTTTCAACTTTGTTTATCAACTTAACAGCTTATTTTATTTTGTTCTCTAAAATTCGATCCGATATTTCCGAATTACAATTTCAAATAAGTTATTTCATGATTCGTGGTATATACATAATTAGTGTTTAGCTTCTGTAATCACGTCAATCCCACAGATACTGCATTGGATGGCAATTTGGCATCAGGAATGTCTGGAATGTTTGCGAGGAATGGAGACAAAGGCTTTCTTGGCTTTGGGCACCACGGGAAGAAAAGGTAATATATTTCAAAACGTAAGTTAAATTACACTTGGATTTTATAAAAAAGTTTTAATACTACTTTTTGTGAAAATTTGCAGTTGTTATCTAAAACAATTATTTATGATTAAAATATATTTTTTATTTTATTTTAATATTTGATTGCTAAATGCCAAATATTCAATTTTGTTTAGAGAATTTAGAATTTTTTCTGTTATTTTACAATTTTATTATTATTATTATAGTAAATTGTAAGTGTTACAATTTTAAAACAAGAATATACAAGACATTTATGCAGGATCTTTAGAATATTTTTCACAGTTTTATATTATTATAATCTTATATTATTTTAAATGATGTCCAATTATATGGTACTATTTAAAGGTGGGATTGGTAAAGGCTCAGCATCCAACCGCCCAGACAATACCAGGCCTATATCGCCAGACTGGGAATGCCTCTCAACATCTCTTGCATAGCGATAGCGACCTCCGGCTAGATGCGCAAGGCGCCTTTACCAGGTATGCGATCAATTGAACAATTACGATTTTATAATATTCGCATACAATTAATCAAGTTACTTCAATCAGATTATAAAATTTTCTACATTATGAATATAAGTAATTGCGACTAAGAATATTATAATGTCAATAATAATGAAATTTTTTTATACAAAGAAAGAAACCTTAAACAACTATATTTTGTATCCATGTCTTTCATAATAAGATAACATTGAATTAAATTAAATTTAAATATGTTAATAATAAATAAAAAATAAATACCTAAAAAAATTATATACATATATGAAATATATTACATCTTTATACTGTTCTATATACAGATTTGAGGCTGTCGACAGGGATCTACATCCGCCTCTCGGCAGCAGTGCGATACCACCTCAACCATTGAGGCCTGCTCCGCAACCACGACCGACCGCTCGTCCGAGGCCGTCGCCGCTTCAGACGCCGAGTACTGTCGACTATATTAGGATGCACGAAGCTGGTCCAGGTCCGTTGACGCCGCCGCCGTCGTTGCAAAGAGGATCGATACGATCGAGAGCCCCCGGTCCGTCCGTGTTTCTCTTTCAGAGCGAACCGTCGAAGAATCACGACCCCTTCCAGTCGATCGAGCGTTCCACCTTCGTGTTCGACAATGGTCCTGCGAAGACGATAACGGAAAGCATCCAAATGACACCTTACTCTAGTCAAAACCACGTAGATTCAAGATTAATCAGGTATAACATATAAAAAAGCTTCCGATAAGCGATATTTCTCCTGATGGGTTTAACTTTAATATATACTAATTTATTTAGGTCACATAGGCTAAAACTATAAAGCCGCTTATATTCCATTTTTTTACGTGAACTTTACAGGCAATTTGAACCTCCCAAAGAGCCGGCGTGGCTCAGATACGGTATAAGCGAACCTCTAGATAACCGTCATGACAAGTTGAACGACGAGGATGTCAATAGAAGTTATGGCAGCTACGAGATCGTCCAGAGGAATCATATCGCGCGCCCATACGCGAGGAATGAATCCAGAGGGTTTGCGGATAATTTCAGCATGACGAATTCATCGAACGCAGCTAACCAGACGATCATGGAGTCGATATACGGACCACAGACCATTTCAAAGATGCTTCAGAACAGCGAGGAGCTGAACGGCGACCTCAATCGAAAGAATAGCGATATGCAGAACATCGAGATGACTCCGTTCAAGAGTATTTCCGGCCATCAAGAAGATATCGATTCCTACATGTTTCACAGCGATCTATCCAAGTCGCATGATCTTCAGCGAGTCTCGCAATACATTCAGAGCTTGCCTGACCTTCCTGTCTACGAATCCATGAACGAGCTTCAGGCACGCTCAAATCGTGAATCAATACTGTTCGCAAGCGCAATTCAAGAATCGATCGTAGACGAGACGAAAATCGCGAACGAGTCTGCCTTGAGCCCGATACCACCGCCACCCGCACCCCCGGACCCGTCTCAGGAGATCACGAAGAAGAGTAGCCCAACAACCGGTGAGAGAATCTTCAGCGCGCTCAGATCAGTCACCTCACAGAGCTACATAGATGCTTCGGAGTTTTATAAGTAAGTTATTAAAAATTGATAAAAGTAGATGTGTTTTCAACATATAAATTATTCTATAATTCAATAAACTCATAATTTTTATTTTTTTATTATAAACACTACTTGCATATGGTTATAGTACGCATTGTACAATTTTTCAAACATTAAAACTTTTTAAGATTAATTTAATTTAAAAATAATTTTTAAATATTAGAGCAAACACGCACAATTTTATTACAAATCTAACTTTATGGATTTTTTAATACTCAATAGCGGAATTTTTTTTTTTATTTTTTTTTTATTTTTTTTTTTTTATCGAATTATAACGGGATATATTATTTCTTTATCCCTAGTTCGGTACTCTCCTCAGCGCAGCAAGTACAGCGACTTGCGTTTCCATCGACATCACCACCGTTTGTGAATGATAACACTGAAGATCAGGATGCCGAATACTTGCAAGATATGCGAGATATTTATGCCGAAACCGACCCAGACCTGACTGGTCTCGATGGCTCGAGACGGAGCTCTGATCTTTATAGTCCTGAATTAAATCTCGAAGCTCATAGAACAGCGCAAGAGGTACTATATAATTTATTTTATCACTTTATTTTACATAACATTAATAATAACTTAATAATAATTGTTCTTTATCCTTGTTTTTAATTTTGTTTCTCTTGCCTATAGGTGTACAATAGTCTACAAGATCCACCGTCGTCTCCCTTATTGCTTAAGGATCACAGTCACGAGTCTTGTACTTATTTATCAGATCCCAGTTTCATCCGAACGTCAGAGGTACATATATCTTTTAATCTTTTTGCTGATTAAAAAGAAATTGATTGTAATTGATTGAATTGTAAGAAATATTTGATAGTGTAATATACTTGGTTTTTGGTTCCTTAAATTAGAATTATTTTCCAGGATATTTTTAACAGCCTCGAACAAAGACGTAAAAGTATAGAAAGACTGAATGGTATTCATGAATATGTAGAACTTGATCCTGCCGATCCCTCGAGGTATGAACGTTACCATAAAAAATTACACAATGTCAGGCTCTTTATTACCTTAAATTACCTTTCAATCATTATAAAGTTAAAACGTGTACGTTATGTGTGTTAGGAGAAGGAATAGCCAGGAACTCTATGCCGCCTTAGAGGAGGTGCAATTGAAGAGACGACTTTCACAGGCAATGATACATTTTTCTTAAAAACGTTACAAATCCTTTCACACAAACAATATAAAATAAGAGTATTATTTGTGATTTTCAGAGTCTGGAGGAGTCATACCTGGGTTACGCAATAAACGACTACGGCAACATCAGATCGGGAAATCGTCGAGGTTCGCTAGGTCCCGAGCCGGAACCACCACCCGACGAATCCAATTTAAAAAGAGCGATTAGTTGCGAGAGCGTATGTTCCGATACTAGCGTCAACCTGAACGATCTGGAAGAAGCACCTATCGTAGGTCACATCTGTGTTGGACTTGAACACGAGAGGTGGGGTGGTCGCGGAAGCGACTGCGAAGGCGATCTGGCCATAAGCGTCTTGGAAGCCAGGGATCTCGTTGCTGCCGATGGCTCTCCCGCACAAGATACTTTCGTTAGGTGAATATCTTTTTTACCTGCTAGTATCATATATTATTATTATTTATTAAAAATAGAATATCACGTTAATGATAAATATATCTTAAAAATCTCTTATATACATATAGACTCTCATAGCATATAATACGTAGGATGTCTCATTACTGCCGTATTAGGACATTCTTTTATGACATTATTTAACAAATTACAAATTCTTAGTAGAAAAAATTAATAAAAGACAACTAATTCATAATTAACGGAATTCTTAGTAGGTATACTTAAAGATTCTTTTTCTTCGTAGAGTGTGTCTACTACCTGACAGGCAGACTCATGTGCAAACGAGAATTTATAGGGGATGTCCATCACCTAGTTATCAGGAGAAATTTTTATTTCCTCTCGATGGCGGTCCAGCAGGCAGAACACTTCTTGTTGAGGTGGTATTTGCTAATAATTTCTTGCCGCATAGTTTCTATTTGATACATGTTAAATATACGTAATACGTATGAATATAATTAAATTATTAAATAAATAAATCACGTAATTTTTTTATATTAAATGTTAATCTAAACGGACGTGAATTTGAGACGTGAATTCAAATAAATTACTTTTTTCATTATTCAGGTATTTTCCGATGAATCTAACATCGGCGGCGGCGCATCCTTAATCGGCGAAGCCAGTTTGAAGCTCGGACCTGCAGCAAGACCGCCAGCTACGACTTGGCTGGCACTCAGTGGACCTGCCTTACCTACTCCGCATCTAGGAGAGTTGATGTTCTCTCTTAGTTACTTGCCTACGGCGGAGAGACTCACCCTCGTAGTAGTTAAAGCGCGGAACTTGCACGGAACAAGTTTATCTCCGGGTGATTTTTTCGTCAAGGTAATTCAGGCATCGCTCTTCTATACTTGAATAAATATAGTTAAAAAAAAATGTTAAAAATATTTTTCATTAAGGTATACCTACTTCAACAAGGGAAAAAGATGCATAAGAAGAAGACATCCGTGAAAAAAGGCGAGAAAAGTCCAATTTTCAACGAGGCGATAATATTCAGTGTGCCAGCGCACGCTTTACAGGTTTTAATAAATTTTCATTTTTTTTAACAACAATCGTAATAAAGACATGATTTAATTTCTAAAAACAATGTTTGTAAATACGAATCGTTAAAGTTAAGTGAACTTTCGAATTAATTAGCAATCATTCCTAATTGAATAATATTAATTTATTAGACAGATAGATTACCAAATTTTTTTCATGAATATTATATAGTTCTCGAGCAAAATCTAAGCTTTCAAGTTTGTACCTGGTTATATTCCTTCTCCTTATGGGAATCGTCTCTTTATCAAATAATGAACTTTTTTCAGACTATACAGCTGAGATTGACGGTGGCGGAATTGAACGGAGATCAAGGTACAAATTCAAAGGCATACTCTGTAGGACACATTATTGTAGGATCTACCTCGACGGGAAAAGCGCTGGCTCATTGGAGACAAATGTTAACGGCCTTGCGACGCCCGGTTGCTATGTGGCATCCTCTCAGGAAGTAGAAACAGAACCGCGTTCCATTTAAAAATAACCAGAAAACTGCGATTTGCGAAACAATCCTAAAATATCACTTTTAATCCTGAATGCTCTCGTATAGGTGTCACATACCCTTTCTTTGATATATTTAATATCGGGAAGGATACGCACATGTATAATCTGTGTAAAATAAGATAAAGTTTCACGGAAATGCGCATTACAAGCGTATATCCTAAAATCTATTTACTGTTAACGGTCGTTTAGACCATCGCGTCGCAATATTGTTGATGACGGAATTTATGAGCGAAATTGTATGCACACTACTGTATCGCACGAACCAATACTAATTACTATCGCAATTATTCAGTTAGTCAAATACTGAATTCATCAAGCACGAATGAGCTCCAAAGTGATCCGCACCATCGTTTACGTAAATCGTGATATGGACAATTAGAATGGTTTGAGTAAATTTTGCATTTAGATTGTTACTTGAAAAATCGTGCAAATTGCAATCAATTGCAGCAATTAAATCTTCCTTCTAAGTATTAGATAGGTAGACCTATTTAAAGGGATTCAACGCGGCCGACTGAAATGCCGACTGAAGCAAAATTTATGTGTTCTGTTACATATCTCTTTCTAAGCAATTAACTCTTTTAAAGCAATTAATTCGTTTTGGATCCCTTTTACGAATATTTTAACTGTAAGTTTCTCTCTCTCTTAGAAATTAGATTATAAACTAATCTACAGAACTAAACTAAACTAAATTAAACTAAACTAAACTAGAGACTAACAAACGCTTAACGCTATACAACTTTAAAACCGATCATGTAGTTGTTAGCAAAACATTGAACTTTTTATTTATTATTCGCTATAATTCGCTTATTATTCACCCCCCTTTTTAGAAACAAATAATTCATAAATTTTGAATTTTTTCTATATTATCGATCGTTTTTTCTATGCTAATATATATGCCAAACATGTATGATTAAATAATTACTATTTATAAAATACATAAAGCTGATGCACACTTATCGCCATAGATGGAAAATGGCAGGATGTATTTTTTCACGAACATGTTAACCGATCAATTGATTACAATCCATTCCATGTTCAACGACGAGGCGATCCATGCGACGAAAAATCAAAGCCCGATTACAGTATTCGATGATGTCGGAATTATTTTGAGGCTGACAAGACTCGTAGTAGATATGATGATTTCGTTACATCCATAAAAAAAAAAGTTACACGATCCTACATAATCGCCATAACTTCCTGATAAATGTTACATGTTGATTCTTTGGACGATACATTGCCTTTTAAAAACTAAGGGTCACAAGTTTTGACGATCACTAGAGTTTAATGTAGGATTAGCTTTAAGAATATCATAAATTAGCATGTAAGGGAGATGCTAGACCTTTCTATATAATAACTGCTCCTTAAAGAATCGCTGCTGTATGTTTTAGTGACCCATACATAGCGTGCGTGCCTGTACCTTCGCGATTTACACTTCGAAAATGTTTTTAAATTTATTCAGCACAGATAAAAAAGTTTAAGTGCAGAGTTTATTAGGCTTTGATAATAACCAAGAATGAATGTCAGATAATATCCTTGTAAATAATAGATGAATTATAGAGAACTGATGGGAATTATTCTGTAAAATGTAGTATTCAGTTTCTAATTAGGATTAATTCAATTTTGAAATCTTCTCTTGAAAAATTTTATATATATATATATATATATATATATATATATATATATATATATTTTTTTTTTTTTTTCTTTTATTCGTCAATAGAGAGAATTGAACAATTTAATTTTTTAAATCTTAAAACAAAGATCTGTTATAGTGAATGTTTTCCAATCTTATTTTAAATATTTAATTATGTGGACTTTCAATAATACAAAGCGCCGTTAATATTTATGATATAAAAAATAATGCGCGAAAAAATTTTATTTTCAAAATCGCTTCTGAAGATAAAAAAATTCATTTATGCAGAATAAAAATCCCTGTAAGTTTGTCTTAATATGCCATATATATATATATATATATATTTTTTTTAGAAAATTTATTTTACAGAGCGCAATCGAGGACATTAGCATGTGAAACGGTTCCGACATCGTTGATCGAACTCGTCATTTCGATCACTACTAAAACAAAAACAAAAAACGATCGCTAAATGACTCGCAAGGATTAGACAGCCTTTTGGACCTCAACGCCTATTCTATATCTATATAACTTTTGTACCTCTTCATATACATATTAAAACTCACAAGTTTAGTCTTTGTACGCGTGCACGTGTATGTGTGTACATATATTATATACACTTATAAAAGAAAGCGTTACAAAAGCATCACAAAATTTTACTATCTATACTGTACACTCTTCATCATGGAAACCCAACTAATTTCACTTCACACTTATTAATAACTTACGCAAGTTTTTCTATCGCCAATTACTAATGGGACTAATATCGCTCACTTCTCATTAATTCCATAAATCTAATTGTAAGGCACTCTTTGCGAACAATACTTATATAATATATACGTGGTGGTTCGCGCGAGAATAGTTTAGATAGACAATATTGATTTGAAGAATGCGTATTTTGCGAAAGGTATAATAACAGATGTCTTTAATAACAATGGAAAATTATACTATTGAAAATGGACGCAGATAGATATCACAGATCTTTGGTTCAAATGTTAATTCTTTTACAAGCTTCTTATTGTATCGTGATATTTAATTACTCTATTTCTGGGTTTAAGCTTTAATTTATTTACTTATTCATTTATTGCGAATTTTTGCTAAAACTGCTAAAATTTGCTTGAATTTTTATTTATTCATAATTTGTAATTATATGTTTGTGAGAACAACTTTATCGTGCTTTCTTTAAGGAGCTTGGTCAAAAGCTTCGAATCGCGTACATATATACGCGCAAATTATAAATAAAATTTAATAATTATAATTTAAGTTATACCTATAATGATAAAACACTGTATGTACATAAATTGTACGTATTGCGTACGCATCAACTGTATGCATACATGTAAGCCAAGATAAGCGAATTAGCATTTATCACTGTTGTATATCAGCACAAAACTAAACTTTTATTCTTCATACCTATACGCGATTCGCGTCTATGCACATATATACGCATAACGCATACTGTTGAGTGTCTATGTTTGATACACGTAGACACCGCGTATACACGGTATCGCAGAAAAACGGCTACAATTAGAAATACGGTATAGATGAGCTCCTGTTCTCTAAGATTTTTATTTTAACAAAAACGCGGTTGCTTTCTATATTAATTGTAATTTAAAGATATCGCTTATAAAAGAGATAAGTATTGGAGTTACCGTATTATTGGTACGCATCACCTTCTGAGATTCCCGTGTATACGTGCTATATGTTAAACCTGACACATTTGCGCAGGACGAGTTCAGGGGAAAAACTGAGAACTGTTTAATAGTTTACATCTCGTTTTTCAGAATTTAATTTTGTCAGAAGCTAGCTGTAACGGTAAAACGGAGGAAGAAATAAGTAAAAGAATAAAAAAGGCAGAAAGAGTAATGAAAAGACGGATAGAAAAGAAAAGAGTACACGATGAAGCGGAGGGAAAACGATGAGAAAAGAAACTCAAAGAATAAAACACAGAGCAAAAAGTATCCAGACAAAAAGAAAGAAAATGGAAGAGAGAGAGAGAGAGAGAGAGAGAGAGAGAGAGAGAGAGAGAGAGAGTGCGAACCGAGTAATAATGACAATAATAGTGCAAAGTGATTTGTCCTACAAATAGCGTCGCTACGCGTATCAATATATAGCTTCTGTTCATAAAATTAAGTAAACGGATTACTTTTAAATAATTCGATGCACGTCAGTCAACATATTATATGAGAAATATAATGTGTTGCCAGAGTAATACATTAAATTAATAAGTTATAGCAAAACATTAGGCGTCCATGAGTGTTGAAATATATCACGTTGATTATTGTATTAATAATAATTTACTATGTTAAAAATTTGTAGGACGAATCACGAAACACGTAGCCATTGCATGAGTGTGTACGATTCACATATACAAAATACTATAAAATTTAAATTATTTTATATTTTTGTTACGCCTCTCTGTGATATAATAAGGGCACATTCACCCCATCCTGTATATGTATGTGCGTTATATAATCTTCGTATCTCGTTGATTAAAATGAAACCTTTTAAAGAATGAATCTTGCCAAGCCTTCCCTGTATTGCATTTCGAAATGCACTCGAACGTACCTCCATTAACTCTGAGGTTAATAAAAAAAAGTCCATTTTACAAGATTATTATTGCGCAATGAATTTTTATAATTGAATAAAATCGATATTAATTTCTTTGCCGAAATTAAATAAAAAGCGCACATAATTACTTTCCAAATTATTCAATATAATTAATAGATATGTATATATAATGCACAATAATTACAGACATTATATAATATATCTATGGATGACTGGTAATTTTATCCAAATGAGTAAAATATGTGTAATTTATTTATTTATTAAAATATAAGTTGTGGACTTCAACGTTACAACTAATGTTCGTAAAATGGTTTTTAAAGCAGCAGGTACGTTTGAGATAATGTTCGCGGAAGATGCATCGTTATATATACGATATCTTGTACTATGTATACTATATAATATATTAATTGTACGAAAATCATAACTGCATTGACTTGTGGAAAATAGTGTAATTTAACGATGGTGGGCGGTAATTGTACAGCAATTGGACATTTGTATGCTGTGTAACGTGTCTAATACAGGGTGTATCTCTCTGAAATAGTGGATCAGAATTTGTTGATATGTTTTTAAATTCTGAATTAATTTCTTCTTAAAATTCGTTAAAATTTAATATTTTTCATAATTCAATAATCTTCAAATTAATTTTTAATTAATAATCTTATATTTATAATAATTAATAACTTATAATTAATAATAAAGTCTATAGACTTAACATTTTATTATGTAGATTACGAAAATGAGTAACAAAGTATTACTTCGTATGTAATTTCAACTGGACTTTAAAAGAATTTTAATTTAAGATTTAAACCTTTTAAGGACAGGCATGGCAAATAAACCACAGCGGTATACTAAAAAAAATTAAAGGGTTGTGTCCAAATATTTACCAAAAGTTAAAATGTGAAAAAATTGCATCTAAAAAAATCAATTCTAAATTTTCCAAACACTATATGCACTTTTAAAAGCCATTGGCCCACTATTTTAGAAAATAATTTCCATCCTGTGTACACATAATTATACTTATGCGGAAAGTCATGTACTATTAATTGTACACGAATCATTGTTAATCATAGTTGCGGTTCTATTTACACAATTCGTTTAATGAATAAATTTAAAAATATATATATTTCGATTAATGGACAACGCCTTGCATTTCATTATCTCATCTGATAAATAATTTATTCTGTTAAATCTAAGAAGCATGCAGTTACCTTATTATTTACTTTATCAACAATTTAATAAACATATTATTATGTAGAATTTTACGCGTATTTCCTATTATTTGAAAAATTATTTCTGTTCAGAAATTAAACATAGATATAAAATTTATTTTATTTCTGATCTCATACAATTTACAACTACAATAAAGTACGTATTTTTTTCAATGCTTTGATTTTTAAAATAAAATATATTATTATACGATTATATAGGTATCTTTTCATACAATGTTTGTGAATCTTACCAGGGAAGTAATTATTACATTAATAGGTTGAAGTTGTAAAAAAAAAATTACATAAATTTATAACGTTATAAAGAAGTAAATAATTAAAAATAAGTATTATTTATATTTGACAAGATAATTAAATTTTAACAGCGTTTAATTTAACTGCATATTTTGGACATATGAAAACTTAAAAAATATATAAAACTTTGAAGCGTTGGTGTTACACGATGGCGGCCAACATTAGTTCAAAAAGGCAATCAATTGTATATTTGTGATAGCTTAAAATTATTCACTAGATATTTCCTCTAAAAATAGATTGGGATAGAATCTCAGAGCTTCTATCGAATCGTCCCTGCAGGCTTTGCCGTGCTTCTCCGTGACTAGCAATCGTTCGCGTGCTAATAATACCGATATACCCTCTGATTGTGCAAGATCTTCGGCCGTCATAGGTCCTTTTTCTTTCAACTAAAAATTTTGTGGGAGATACAGTAAAGAAGTTAAATAATTTTGGCTACATTTATCGTGTTATTCAATGCTTACCAATTCCGTTATACGATCTATGACAGCATTATCGTCGTGAGAACGAATTTGAAGTACCATAACACCGCTATCAAAACTTCTCAACACAATTGGTAAACCTAAGGGCGCCAATTGTCTGCTGGCGTGTAATAAATCCTCAGGAGATAAAAGTTCCAAACCTCTCGCTCTATTCACACGACAGTAAACGTCTGTGAGTGTCATCATGCCGCCGACTTCCTGAAACCGGATATATAACATTTCTTTAATCGTTCTTTACATTCAATAAGCGATATATCCTGCAAACCTTTATCGGCTCTTCCAAGATAGATGCAAGCTGTTTCGCTAATTGTTCCAAGTACTCGTTGCTACTCTTGTACGCATCTCTCGTTACTGGATCGTCGATACCTAAGCTCATTAAGTAAGCCTTAAATCTGACAGTTTCATCCTCCGTTATATCTCCTTGTCTTGCCTGCAATGATCCTGCATTATGAACCTCAACCTGTCAGCTTTACAAAGGAATTATTGAAAATCACCCTTATTTTAGCCGAAATGGTCTTTGAGATGGCCACCATATCTTTAGCCATATCCATAAGCTTCGTAAGATCTTGAAATGCCAATGATATACTTTCGTCAGTTTCTTTCTGCTTCTCTTGTAGACTTCTTTCAATACCTATAATACCCGTTCGGGTTTTTATGCGAGGTGGCAGTTTTGTGTTTTCTTGATTATCACGTACATTGGGGACGATTAATCCAGGAGCAGGAGCAAACTCCCACATTTGTCTCATAATGGTATCGGACAATTGCGTTATAAAATTTGGATCGAGACCTTCTTTGAATGACAATTTAACATAATTGTACAAGCTATTATCCGTTGGACCAGGCATCTTATCTACAAACATACAAATGTTCCATTTAACTAAATAACTTGGAAATAATTTCCATATATATCTATATATACTCGTTAGGCCTTAAATCTTACCAACTGCAGGTTCAGACAGATGTAGCACAATCTTCTTACTACGCCCGAAGGAAAACGGACCAGGATTTTCCTCTTCGAAGAAAACGATATGTCTAAGTGACAATGACAAGCAGGTATTACCTCGTGGTATATCGCCAGGCCTGCCCCAGAGTATTCTGTGACTGGTTAGGATTAATTCACCATTTTCGAAATTTGTCTATCAAAATAAGAAATTATTTTAGTATTAATATATCTACTTAGGTATAAAATTAGAACGATTAATTATCAGATCTAAACATCTAGCACACACTTTTCTCCGAGCCACTGGGCAAAATTCTGTTCCTTTCAGCCGCAAGTAGTATTTATTACCTTTGTGTCACCGTCGTAGAGGCGCACGACCATATCACGTCTCACATAAACCTCGTTTGGCATAAACCGAGAATCAGCGTATTCGAACCTGTTCATCGTGGCGACTGACGAACTGTCTGTCAACTGTCAAATCCAAGTGTCAAAGAGAAAAATCATATTTACCTCATGTGATTGCCGTGAACTAAGATTGATTTAGATGGGCTGCCGGCTCGCGCGCGCAACGCGAACTGCTCGCCGCTCGGTACGCGTTGATCGACCATCGGTTAATTAAATATTATATTCAAGTATTTGTTGATTCAAAAATTTGCAACAACCAATCTCACTTTTCTTCAATAAATGTGTGAAATAAAAAAATTTACAGAAATATACATAAAAATTTGCGACCTACCGTTCGAACGTAAATCCATGGACAAATTCCGCTTTTAAAATATTGGTGCGTTCCAAAATTCTTGAAAAAGAATTTCGTTCGCGCTTATCGAACGTAGGCTGGATTCGGGGAGCGCGCTATTAGCGCTATTTGCTTGTTCTATCCTTGTTTTACACCTGATGAGCGATAAAGACAGAATGATGCAATAGCGCTAATAGCGCGCTCCTCGAATGCAGCCATAATGTATCCACAATTGTCCACAATCCGGTTATCCACTGCGATGCCGACTGCCGGCAGACGGCAGAACGACGAAAAAAAAACCACCCTGGCCGCTCGAGGCTCGACCGCTCGAGTAGCGGCGGTGCTGGGCGCCTGGGCCGCCCGGGCGATGCGCTCTCATCTTCGTTTTGCGTAATCGTTGGATGTTTCGGCCCGTATTCTCGCCGTATAGCGAGTAGCGAGCTCAACAAACCCTCAATGTGGCGTTTGAGTTTGGCAGGTTATGGATTGAGGTTTCGGGGTGTGGCATCGTTATTCGGCGGGTCCGCGTCCGCGGGACGTTGCGAAACGCGGCAGTAGCGACCTAGCCTAGCGAGTACCGACGTGATCGTTGAGTGAGACGCGCGCGAGTGTTCGTGCAAGTGTTCGTGCACGCGAAATTTCTTCGCTCGTGTTCCCTTTTTTTTCCTTTTTCTTTTTCTTTCATTCTTTCCTAACGCAAATGCGCGAGAGCTCGGCGTTGCTTCCGTAATTCCGTAATTTTACGGCAACTTGACGTTTTCACGCATTACTTGATAGAGCGTAGGAAAAATCCCGTGGAACAATCGCGGGAGCTACGTGACGTGACGATGTACGGAACATTTTCAAATCGATCCCCGCGTTGACGCGTGTCCGTGTGTACATCGCCTCCACGTTTGACACAAGGTAGACCAAGTCAAGTCGCTAAGCCGCACGACGAGGCAGGCGGCAGGCCACGGTCCATGAAATCACGTGTAACAAACGCGACGTGGGATGTTGAGCGCAACCACCCCCACTCAGCCCCACGAATACACCGAGATGTCTCGGTTAGCCGACTACTTTGTAGTGGTCGGCTACGATCACGAGAAAGAAAGTAAGTCATTGTCAAAGATTGCGCTTGACCAAGATTCACCATTTTTCTCTTTAGTATTATTTCAGTTTAATTTAATTTTCTACGTTAAAATAAATGATGATTAGATGTCCAGGTATTGAAAATTGAACAAAGTGTACAATTGAAAATGACAGATATAACTGGTTTAACATTCTGCAACTACATGTAACAAATTCTCAGTGGCAAATGCTCTACTAACTTGCTATTGCACTAACTGTGCACATCAACAAATATATAATATATATGTGCATCTGTTTTACATATGTGCATGTTTTTGTGATTGTAGGGGGTGGTGTGAGTAGTGGAGTAATATTACAACGATTCCCAGAGAAAGATTGGCCAGATACACCTTTCATCGAAGGAATAGAATGGGTAAAACTATTTCTTTTTTGGAAGACAGATTTGTTATGTCGCCATGTTATTTACATATTGTGTCCTACCTTATAGTTTTGTCAACCGCAAGGATGGGCCTTGTCGACGGAAAGGCAAGAGCCACGCTTCTTTGTTTCAATATTGACGGATATCGATGCAAATCGACATTACTGCGCTTGCATGTGCTTCAATGAAACGGTATCGATCGTGCCAAGCAAACCTGTGGACGAGGAAGAAGATCCCGTAGATGGAGATAGTCGGCCCTTGGTCAGGGCGATACCCGCCATTGCGCATCATAGCATTATGTACGCACCCAAATGTCTGGTGCTGGTTTCCAGACTCGATTACATAGAAACATTTAGAGTATGTGAAAATATTTAATTATACATTTAATGTAATTAAATCGTCAACTATGTTTTCCTGGTAGTTTATTAATAATGATTTATTATTCTTGCAGAATTGTCTTGGTATTATATACACGGTGTACGTGGAAAATCTTGGTATACCGTTAGAGACGTTAGTTGGAAACATATTAGGATGTATTCAAGTACCTCCCGCTGGTGGGCCACAGGTACGATTCAGCATCGGAGCAGGGGATCGTCAGGCACTTCAACCACCAATTAGTCCTTCTCTTCCCATAACTCATACTAGTGTAAATTTATTATTTCAGCAACTAGGTAAGAACGTGATTGTGATGAAACATGAAATTTGCAATGATTTATACACACAACTCAATATATATTCAATTATATTACTAACCAATAAATAATTTTATTTCTAGGTATTCGCAATGTGTTAGTATTATTTTGCGCAGTCATGACAGAACACAAGATACTTTTCCATTCTGCCAGTTATTCTCGACTGACCGAAGGGTGTCGTGCCCTAACTGCGTTGATGTATCCATTCAGATATTCGCATGTTTACATTCCTCTTTTGCCAGCGGCTTTAGTCGAAATTCTTAGTACTCCAACACCATTTATTATGGGGGTACACAGTTCGTTGAAATACGAAGTTGCGGAACTTGTAAGGAAAACTTTTATGTAACTTTGAGAAACCATTTATTCTAATTTAAACTCTCGTTTGCTATTTATAATCGTCCTTATTTACAGATGGATGTAATAGTTGCCGATCTGGACGGAGGTTCCTTAACAGTTCCGGATGGTGTCTCGCTTGCTTTACTACCGGAGCCGTTGCTCTCGCAAACGCAGGATGCGTTATCTCTGGTGTTGCAGCCAGAATTGGCGTGCGCGGATTACGCGTTTCCTCCGCTCGCAACGAGAGCTCCGCATTCTCCCATGCTCGACAAGGAACTCAGAGCAGTGTTTATGAGAACCTTTGCTCAATTGTTGCAAGGATACCGGAGCTGCTTGACGTTGATACGAATACATCCGAAAGCTGTTATCACTTTTCACAAAGCCGCATTTTTGGGAGAGAGGGGTTTAACGGACTGCGATTTCACCACGAGAGTTTTGGATTGCATGTTTTTTACATCTTTTATCGCAGAAAGAGGTCCACCCTGGAGACCTTGCGACGTGTGGGACGAATTGTACAGTAATTTGAGCGATCAGTTGAAGCAGGAAGCGCAGGATCATCGAGTTATACTGACGCACATCCAAGAACTAGCGCAACAGTTATATCTGAACGAAAACCCGAATCCTCAACCATACGTGCAGAAGATCCTGAAGCCACCCGAGGGTGCGTTTGCGAGGATTCATCAGCCTCTCTTGCCACGTATCAATCCGGAGCAGGTTCAAGCGATCATCGACGAGGGTCTTGCGAAGAATAATCTCAAAGTCAGATTGTCGTCCTTGAGGCCGATTCAACCTCGCATCGTGCCTATGGGTCCGCACATTTCATTTGTTCATGACACTAGGCACCTGGTTAGCAACTCCGCTCGTAGACTAGAAGTATTACGCAATTGTATCAACTGTATATTCGAGAATAAGATCTCGGACGCTCGCAAGACGTTTCCAGCTGTCTTGCGAGCTTTGAAAAGCAAAGCGGCACGGTTAGCGCTCTGCATGGAGTTGTCGCAACATGTAGTCGGGAACAAGGCTATGCTAGAGCATCAACAATTCGATCTAGTGGTGCGTCTGATGAATTGCGCGCTGCAAGACGACTCGTCGATGGATGAACACGGAGTCGCCGCTGCACTGCTGCCGCTCGCCACCGCGTTCTGTAGGAAGTTGTGCACCGGCGTAATTCAATTCGCGTACACCTGCATCCAGGAGCATCCGGTATGGCAGAATCAACAATTTTGGGAAGACGCCTTCTATTTAGACGTTCAGAAAGACATCAAACGCCTGTATCTGCCGGGTGACAATTCGCCACCCAGACTTATGAACGATGGTATTCTGAGTCCTATCAGTCCGCGGGATGGGAAAGAATTTCCGTACCGCGATCGATATTCCATCTATCAGGCTCAGGAACCGTCGGCGCTGGAAATAGCCGCGGATCAGATGCGGATCTGGCTGTCCATCGATCCCGAGAAACAGAAAGAGCTGGTTAATAGCGAGGAGAGCACCATGTACAGCCAGGCCATTCATTATGCCAATCGAATGGTCTATCTACTAGTACCTTTAGACATCGGCTCAAAGACGCATCGTCAAGATCACATCTATGACGACGAACGCGCCAGTAACAGCATTACGAATAGCGTGGCAAGCGACAGCGGCGACGCTGAATCCGGATTCGAGGAGACTGACCCGGGGGAGACCGGCAGTGCCGTCATTCGGATGGTCTCGCGATTCGTCGATCGCGTGTGTACCGAGGGCGGCGTCAGCGCCGAGCACGTGCGTTGCCTGCATCAAATGGTCCCGGGTGTTGTTCACATGCACATCGAGACGCTCGAGGCAGTCCACAGGGAAAGCAAGAGACTGCCACCGATACAAAAGCCGAAGATTTTGACGCCAAACATGCTGCCTGGCGAGGAGGTGATAATGGACGGCTTGCGCGTTTACCTGCTGCCGGACGGCAGAGAGGAAAGTTCCTCAGGATTGCCCAAGATACCGCCTCTCTTGCCAGCCGAGGGTGCAATCTTCCTCACGAATTACAGGATAGTGTTCAAAGGTATACCTTGCGATCCGTTCGCCTGCGAGCAATTGGTCGTCCGTGCTTTCCCCGTGACGTCTTTGACTAAGGAAAAGCGCGTCGCTGTGCAACATCTGGCGCATTTGGATCAATGCCTTCAAGAGGGTCTACAATTACGTTCTTGCACGTTCCAGTTGATAAAATTGGCCTTCGACGAGGAAGTTACGCCCGAGAATATCGACACTCTGAGGAAATTGGTGCACAAAGCTAGATATCCGCCGCACATCTTCCATCATTTCGCCTTCAACGGTCAGGTCTTGGTCACGCAAACGGCACATCACAAGGGCAAGGAGAAAAACGCTACCCTAAAGGGTTTCGCGAAAAAAACGCTGTTGAAGACCGCGCGAAAGGCCGGTTTTAAACCGAAACAATCGTCCAAACGGCAAAAGTACGTGCTACCGAATATGAATCTCATCAACAGCAACAACAAGTACATGACGTCGCCTGGCCGAATGAGTCTACCGATGACCGATAGCAATGATCTTAGCCACGACGACGATCTCAGCGTGGACGATTTCGAGATACCCGGGGTGGTGACGCAACCTCCGACCGATGCCAAGACCCTCGAACGTTTGTCCGAGCGTAGCTACGTCCGGGACTGGTACCGACTGGGCCTCTATTCGAACGGACCGCACAACAATCGTCGCAACGAACCCTTCCGACTGACCTCGGTGAACTGCGCTTACATGATTTGCCGCAGCTACCCTGCGCTTCTGATCGTGCCCACTTCCGTGTCGGACGAGAGCATTCGACGATTCTGCAGACTTCATCGTCACAGTAGAATGCCAGTTGTCACCTGGAGACATCCGCGAACAAAGGCGTTGCTAATTAGGGGCGCCGGTTATCACGGGAAAGGTGTAATGGGCATGCTGAAGGCCCATCCGACCTCCGGCAGTAATCTAAAAACCACGTCCTCGGAGACTACCTCTTCTCTGGAGCAAGAGAAATACATGATGGCACTCGTTGCCGCGACCCCGCTCTCCGTACTGCGTCAAGGTTCCGCTTGGGGTATGTCCGACAGCTCTCTAAGTATAGACTCGTTATTACTGGCGGCGGAAGATCGTAACGCCACGCCTGAACAATCGCGTCGCAATCCGTTCAACAAACCCCTCGGCACTCTCAGTTCGTCGGGCGGCAAAGGTCCCAAGAATTTCGGTCGATGGGGTTCTTTGAAAGACAAAAGACACAATTCGCAGGCTTCCTTGACTTCCGTTCATCACCAGCGTGGAACCGTCAGACATTCCGCGGATTCCGACAGCGGCACGGAATGCGTTCACACGTTTCAACGCGCCGCTCTTTACATTCTGGGCGAGAAGGCACACATGAAAGGCGTCAAGGCAGAATCCACTCCCAAGACGGACTTTATTCCGGTAGAATATTACGACGTGAGGCACACGAAGGCTGCATTTAAGAAGCTGATGCGAGCGTGCGTGCCCAGCTCACCGAACGTCGAACCCGATCAAAGTTTCTACAGACTCATCGAGAGCTCGGAGTGGTTGCAGCAACTGCAGAGCCTGATGCAGCTAGCGGGGGCAGTCATAGACCTCATGGATATGCAGGGCTCGTCGGTGGCGGTTTGCCTGGAAGATGGTTGGGACACTACGACCACCGTTTGTTCCGTAGCGCAGGTGTGTCTCGATCCGCATTACCGAACGATCGACGGCTTCAGAACCTTGATCGAAAAGGAGTGGCTTGGATTCGGGCACAGATTCGGCCACAGGAGCAACCTCGCCGCGAATTCGCAAACGACAAACTTCACACCTACGTTTCTACAGTTCCTCGACATAGTGCATCAAATACAGAAACAATTTCCTCTGGCCTTCGAGTTCAACGAGTACTATTTGAAGTTCTTAGCTTATCACTCGGTGTCCTGCCGCTTTCGTACATTTCTATTGGACTGCGAGTTTGATAGAGTCGAGTGCGGCATTACCGCCATAGAGGATAAAAGAGGTTCCTTGACAAGTCATCACAAGGGCGTGGACACCGGTAGCGACGACGAAACGATCTATCCTGGTGGTAGACTAGCGGGAACGAACAAACAAACACTTGGCTGTAATCTTGGACAAAGTATATTTGATTACATAGAGAAACAACACGCGAGATGTCCGTTGTTCTACAATTTTATGTACACCCCGAACACGGAGAATCCTGTTTTGCGACCAGTCTCGCATCTGCCGAGCTTGGACATCTGGCAGTTTTACCTGGAAGAAGAACTGGCACACGGTCCAGCGTATGATCTTGAAGTGCTGCAGCAGGATTCCCAGCAGGAGGAAGAGGCCGAAGCTGCGGATGGCGTGGTTAAGAGCAATCGTAAAGTGGTTACTCAGGGGTAATTATTTGTATATAAATGCTACATTCAACGCTCGCGTGAAGAAATCGCTCGCGAAATTACAGATTACCATCTTTTCCAGATACGACGGAGTCAGCACAATGGTGCCCGACCAGTTTTCGCATCTTTTAGAAGAAATTCACAAGTTGGAAACCGAATTGGGACATTTACCGCAAAAGTGGAAAGTCCTCTGGGATAAACTCGAGTTGCCGAACACTGACTCCCTTGCTGTAAGTCGCAACAGAATATTCATGCAGTTCTTTATACCAAGTTATTCTCGCGAGTATCATCGCAAGAAAAACTCAAAATATATTTGACACTGTATATATACTGTGTTGTGTAATTTATTTTTAAATTATATTTTTCTTCTTATCTACGATGTGTCAAAGATTAAGTTTTGAGACTTCGTCACAGTCCGAATATATTTCGGCATAATTTTAACTATTATAAAACCATATAATCGTTATCGATTTTCTTTTTTTCTAGCGGCACGCATCATTCAGCACGGCACTCGTACGGTATCACGGTCGATTGATTCATAAACGTTCTACTTTAGAACTGTTATTGCGTGGCAAACTTGCCGGTGGAAATACTACCGGAAACGAAGGTTCTGTTTATGCGCATCCACACAGGTATCATCATATCATCAATGTCAATCTGTAGAATCTGCTTAGATTCGTTGATTACGTATACCATGAATGCAAACATTTGCTAAAGGTTCGAACGACTGGATTCCGCGACGCCGACTCACTGCGACGCGTGTTCCGGCGTATTATGGGGCCCTGTGAAGGCTGGATTGAGATGCATCGATTGCGGTCATGTGTGTCACGACAAATGCGCGGATGCTGTGCCAAAGAATTGCACAAAATATAAAGCTGTGACGGATAATCTCCAGACTCACACACTTACGAGAAGTGGCGGCGATAACGGAAGCGTAAACTCAAGTATGCGCTCATTTCATTAATCTAAATGGCTAATTGAGGATTTCTCACATAAACTACTCTTTCTAGTTGTGCCACAACTATTCTCTTCAATCTATTTTCACTACTATGTACCTACTATTATGATCTTTTTCTTATTAGGTGTGACAACTATACAAACATCTTCCCAGCAATATTATGAACAATTCTCGAGTAATGTGGCGGAAAATAGAACGCACGAGGGCTATCTTTATAAACGAGGAGCTCTATTAAAGGGCTGGAAACAAAGATGGTTCGTACTAGATTCTATAAAACATCAACTGAGATATTACGACGCAGTGGAAGACTCGCATTGTAAAGGATATATAGGTATGTAATCGAACTAAAAAAATATGGGTAATATAACATAAAGTTTAAAAGTAGAACAAAGTGTAAATTACAAAATCACATATTATAGATTTAGCTGAGGTGGTATCTGTCACTCCAGCTGCGCCAATGCCAGGACCACCAAAGAAAACAGATGATAAATCCTTCTTCGATGTAAGTACATATTCTACTTTGGTGGAAAAATACACGCGGTTTAAATAAAATAAAAAATTTTATAAAAAATGTATTAACACTTTTCAAGATCAATCATTTCAAGTAAATTACAAAAATATAAATTTTATACTAGTAATTTTTATAGATTCATAGCTTTTTTCAATTTTGCGAATCGATTTATTTTTATACAATATTGTTGAAATGTAATTTTTGCAAACATGATAAAATTATTTTTTTTACAGCTTCGTACAAACAGACGGACATACAACTTTTGCGCTGCTGACGCAGCCACAGCACAAGAATGGATCGAAAAGGTTCAAGCGTGCTTACAATAGTGTCACAACGCTTGATTATAGTACTAATTTCAAATTCTGGATGTGACTGACATATAGAGAAGAAAAAACACAGATTTTAATTTTGTTACATAATCTTGTATAGTCTAATTGTATGCATCATAGACTGCAGTAATCTTGCTTTAAGTATTTTAAAACGCAAACTCTCGTTGGACTGAAAAATAGTATCATAAATTAAATGTGATACATCCATATCCTCAATATAGGATTAGTATGTGAATATAATGTACATTTTTTTTGTGATTATATCGTTATATTAAATTTATATTCATCGAGCTGGAAGATGAGAGATCGCTATATAATGCGTCGCGCCTAAAAATCCTTTTTATTTTGTTTAATATATTTTCCAATGTTAAATTATGATGAATTATAAAAAACGAATATAGCTCATATATAATAAATTGTGCACTGAAATTGTCTATTGAAATGTATACAGCATGTCTCAAGATCACCACAGTTTCTGATATCTGTGAATTTTTTAGCAAATTGGGATCAATTTTTCCTTAATAACGAACTATAAATTGATTATAAATTTAACTTAAAATAAACGATTGCTAATCGCAACTATCTTTTAGCAGCACAAATAAATTGGACCCTATTCTTCAAGTAAATTTTTTTCTCAGCGAAATTTTAATTTGGATTATGTTATATTACTAAAACGGCTAATATTTTAACCAAGAAAAGACGAATTCTAAATTTTTTCTAAATTGTAAAAAGATCGCTTTCTCTCTTACAAAATTGGTTAACTTGGGATATTCTGTGTATATGAATAAATATACATACATATATATATATATATATATATATATATATATATAACTATTATCTAAATATTATTGTAATTAATATTATTACTTGATAAGTTGCGAACTTGTTTGTTAAAAGTGTTAAGTTCAAAGCTTGTGAGAAAGACAATTTCTATCTCTAAATATGTTAAGAATATTTGATTAATACTCCTGCCATGCTGACAGTAAAGTTAAATTAAGAATACATTTGTAGCACTTTTTATCATAGTTTGAAAAGTTTCTTAATTTGAAAACAAAAAGCGATACTATTTATATATATTTATCGATATATACATTTTCGAGATTTTACACCATTTCATATCACATACATTACTCGCTAAAATCTTCTTCGTCACTGAAATAGTTATTCTTTTTATAACGTTTCCTCGGTGCAGTCAAAGTTTCTTTTCTATCATATTCATCTGCTTCTCTACGTTCCATTTCAGACCGTTTTTGCTGAAATATAAAGTAACATGAGTAAAAATGTGCATTTTTTTGCTCCATAAAATTTTAACTTATTCATTCGTCTCATTTCACGTTTCAATTAAAAATTATGATTATACCTCAAGTGCAATAACGGCACTTAACGTTTCTGGTTCCTCTTCCGTATCATCATCGACGTTATAGACGTCGTCGATGTTGCGTTTTGGTTTTCTTGTTGCTTCATCGCTATCGCTATCATAATAACTTGTGTCGTACTTTTCTTGTTTCACATTTTTCTTACGTATCCTGACTCTTTTCGCTGGCGGTTCCCTAGGACCTAATGAGTTATTGGTGCAGCAATACGATAAATGTCCTTCCTGCCCACATTCATAGCACTGCGACTTGTCGGGATAATCTCTACGACGTATAAATTCAGTGCTGCGACCATTGTCGACTGCTATTGAACTTTTCAGAGTGCGACCAAGTACCTAACAATAAAAAAAAGGGAAGAGGCTGTTAACAACATATAGATAATCTCTATTGGTGCTATTTAAAATTGTGATTTTAGCCTTTATCTCTCCTCTTTTTAAAATTAAGAAAAGGCAAAAAGCATAATTTCAATTAATTTCTCATTAGAACAACTCTAAATGAGAATTCTGCAAGTTGAACGTTTCGTGTGGGAATTTTTTTAATTTTCTATTTTACGAATATAAAATAAAATTTTACTGATATTTTAAAGCTATACTGATAATGATATTCCTTTTTAATAAGTTTTAAAATTATATGGTCGCGCAGAAACGCATTTCCACGTGCAATCGAATGATTAAGCAACGTGATTATTTGAATGACGTGCGGCATCAAACAATTAGAGAAATAAATAAATACTATAAATTGAAATTTACCTCCGTATTATTAAGAGCTTTCGCACAAGACACGGCATCTTCCGTTTTAAGAAATAGCACGAAAGCAACGCCGCGACTACGTCGCGTTACCTTGTCTTTCAATATTGTTACTCTGTAAATAAACGACATAAATATTTTGCACGATACACATATATGGAGACTCGACGCTTGACAGCAAAATGCTTATAAGTAACTCACTTGACAATTTTCCCGTAACTTTCCAATAGCTGATGTACATCATTGTTGGTTAAGGAGAACGGTAAATTCGACACGTAAACAGTCGATTTACTTGGAGCGATACGACCGTTCATATCTTCATAAATTTATTTTATAAAAATTATATATATATGACAAAGTCTACAGTTGGCTTCACATGTCTTTTTTTTTGTTACTTTAATCTTTGAGCTTTCAAATATCTCATCGAGAAGCATTTCACGGATACACCATAGAGACAAAAGTAAACTGCTTCCAATTTAGGTTAGGATAAAGATGAAGTAAAAAAAGTTTCTGCTATTGCTGAACTGTCTGCACTAGTTCACCAATAGAAAACAGACTTTATTTCGTATTTGTGATATAAGTTTATATATATATATATATGTTATATATATTATATATTGTGATGTAAGGTTTTTTCTATATTATATATATATATATATATATATATATATATTATATATATATATATATATTTTTATATTTTTTCCATATAATTGTGCACAATCAAAAATGTAAAACAAAATGCGCTCATATTCTGATTTTTATTCTCATTATAGCCTTTGCCTCCTGTAGAAATTATAGTTTATAGTTTATTATCGATTGCAGTATAAAAGATTACAGGCGATAAGTATTTGGAAGGAACATCCGTTTGCAAGAATCCTTTTAAACGTGATAATATATTTTCATTCTGCGGAATAGTATTTAAAAAACTACGTGATTGGTCACCAATATACTTTGGCATATCTAATTTTTATATTCTCACGAAATAAATCTATAAATCTTAATTTATATTTTATTAATATAAGCTACATATGCATATACGTATCTAAAAAAAACTTTCCAAATTGAAACATTACAGATTCTTATCCTAGACTCTTAAAGGTGCCACCGCTGTAAACAATCTCGATCGAGATTATTAGAGATTTTACGCTTCTGTTGTAAAATACATATTTTAGCTTATGTTCAAATTTGCTTTTCAACAAAATAATCAATGTGTGTCGGTGCACAACGATAAAATTCACATGTACAAGCTCATAAGATGTCTTCAATAATACCGCTCCTTCCTAAACAGCTAAATATAGCAATTTGATTAAATTTTGTGGGCTTACTGCTAAATATATTGTGTGGCAAAGTCGGTATGGCTGCATTGCGCTCGTTTGCATCACCGTCCGCTATCAACACAAACGTTACACAGATTATAAGATAAAATAAGATATATAAAATGAAAATTTCCATTAAAGAGTGTTGCTTTAAAAATTAAACTATAGCCATGGTGAAAGTTAATAACATATTACAGAAGCAAATAAAAAATACAATATTACAGTATTCATGATTCTGTTAGCCCTTCGCTATCTTCGTCCCATTCAGCAGTGAAACTCTGCACTTTCTTATGTTGTTTATCAGTAGTTTCTTCCATGTCTTCCTCTACCATGTCGCCCTCGACGTGCTCTTCCTCAATGATCATAACAGATTCTTGTTGCCCATCCATACTATTGCTCTGTTCGCTGCATTGTTCCTCGTCGTACTCTACTATCTCCGTTTGTTCTTCGACATATTGTATCACTTCTTCCACCTGATTATCAGCGCACTCCTCCAACATCTCTTGAGGCACCTCCTGCGCCTCCTCTTCCTCCATAACTTCCTCCATAACTTCTTCCTCGACCTCCTCGACCTCCTCAACCTCCTCGACTACCTCCTCTACTATCTCTTCGGTTTCCTGTGCAACCTCGCCGGGCTGATACTCCTCATAGGATCGATGATCGGCCTCCTCAGCACCATGAATGTACACGATCATACCGTCGTCCGTGCCCTGCATCACTATTTGCTCATTATCGGCGATATCCAACTGTTGCGGCTGTTGATGATGATTGTTCTCGGCATGCTGATAACTTTCATCATTGTTAACTAACATGATCATGTGCTGGCTCTCCAATTCGTGCTCACTATAATTGATGTTATGTGCCATATCATCCAACATCTCTGGCACAATGTATTGCTCCTCATTCGTAACTTTCACCATCTCCATGGTTTCTTCTTCCTGTGTTTCCGGAGTAGTCTCAGCATCTCCGACACCGAGGGAAGCGGCTATACCGCTGGCGACATGGCTGAGAGCCTCCGCTTCGGATGACGGTTCTAACGGAATAGTCGGCGCGGACGGAGGAGGCTCGGTGGTGTCTCTCTGTAATTCTTTATGCGCACAGTCCAGATGTACTTGTAAATTTGTCACGCGCACAAACACCTTGCCACAGTATGGACAACGATGGCCCTTGGTCTCTTTACCATCCGCCAAACCTACATGTCCGCTATTCAATTCGTGAGTGGTGAGTTCGGTGATACTCTTGAACGACTGATTGCATTGGTTGCACTGAATATCTTCCGAAGGTAGGGAGTGATGTCGGTTAGGAGGCCGATGATTATGATTTATTTGGTGACGCACCAGCAGAGTTTCCGACAAGGCAACGTACGAACAGGACTGACATTTCGGAAAGCACATGCTCTTCGGCGGCGGCACGTTGTGCTTGGTATAAAGATGATACATCAAAATGTTACGCTTAGTTGCCTTATAGCCGCAATGCTCGCAAACCCTCGGATCAAACTTCTCCTCGTGCACATCTTGCATATGTCTTCTATACATGTAATAATTGGTATATTCCTCGTCCAAATCACACTTGTTGCATTTCCAGGGACCTGTCTCGCCGTCGATACTGCCGTTACACTTGGAATCGTTTTCATCATTATTGCTGGCCAACAGATGGTCCGATTTTAAAACCACGTAAGATACTTTTGTTTTGCTAGCAATATTACTGTCGGAGGATTTTGCTTCTTTCTGCATGATCTTCAAGCGAATATTTTTATTGTTCTTTACTAAATGGGGATATTTTTTTAACACTTCTCTGATGATCTTTGCGTGATTGTTGATAGAATCATCGGTACTTGGGCGATTCGTCTTAGGCTTTTCCACATTTTCTTTTTCCTCCAGATCAAAACGTACTCGTTTAGACGGACCGTCTTGAGATCTCTGGTAATTCTTCGATATACTCCAATCATCGTCCGAATTTGTGTCTCTCAAGTTCTTTTCGCTCTCCTGATTTTCCTCTTCCTCATCTTCGGTTGTATCATTTTTACTATCTCTGTCGGGCGAATGCTTACGAGAGGAATTTCCTTTTTTATCTATGTCGGATGCTTGAACAATAGGCTTTGTATTGTACGTAATGTCATCGAATGAAGAAAATACTCCCAGAGCAATATCATCTGCTTCCGGAAGATCGAATCTGGATGGGCCAGGAGTCGTTTCCTGTTTATGTATCGAAGATGCACTGTGGAATGTTCGTACTTCATAATTCATCGCTGGCATGGGTGGAGATTCATCCAGCTTTCTCTTCCATATGGGAAGTCTTAAAAGATAGAGATTATTGAAATTTTATCGTTTTATAAGACTGTTTGGAGCATTAAATTATGGAATACGTACTTTCTACCTGGCAATGGTTGCCCAGATAAAGTCGGTGTAGTCGAACTGGTGGAGCTGACAATCGCTTTTGTAGTTGGAGTTGGAGGTTTCGAGACGGCTATCACTGGACGCGTAGGTGTTTTTGCCATATCATCTTGCATTTTGCTCGTGTTAAATTGAGCGTCGAGCAACTTTGTTAGGACCGTCATGTTCATTTTTTGCGCTGTACGATACAAAGCATGTTGCTCCGACGTCCAATATTCCAATTGTCCAGTGTACATAAAACTGTATATAAATGTGCAATCAATTAAATATAAACGACAAAAATGTTTCAGCATGAATATTAAAGCGTGAATATAAGTGTGAAGGTGAGATTAATTTTTAGTTGGAGTTTGGGTCCGAGAGTTCTGACCCTCGTCCCGTGTATGCCTTGGTTTTATAAGAGGATGATTGGAACACGAAAGGAGTATGGGGTGAATGAAAACCCATGTTAAATATATTAAAGCAATAAATATTAAAACGTACCTTATAATAGACTTAACACACTCGTAAGGCATATCTGAAGGCATAATTATTACACCATTAAAATTTTCATCCTTCTCTTTTTGCTGTTCTTCGAGTTGCATAAAATAGTCTGTACATGTTGTCACCACAAGTCGATGAGCCTGAGAAGAAATTTCTTTTAATAATATTATTGATAATTTTAAAAATATGTTTAGAAATATTTTTCAATATTATTGCTTCATACTAATAACAAGCTTCATACTAATAAGCATCACATTATTTATACCTGTACAGTAATATCACTTGTAGGAAATTTAATTTTGAGATCGAGAAATTGTTCCTCCGAGTAAAGAGTCTGAAGTCGTTGAAGAAAAAACGATCCCCAATTATCCACCTTTACTTGCTTCAAGCCACGCGCAGGGGGTGACTTCTCTTGAATCACTCCTGACTCCATTATCAAGTATTTGACAGAAGTATCGATACCTGGTTCAATATATTATATACTGAAAATAAATATTATTTCTATGACAAATATTATAAATAGAAAGTTATATATGTATAAACTGTTCAAATTTTTCTACTTTTCAGAAGATAGAACACCATATGACAATCAACAGAAAAATTGGATTTTAATGAAAAATATTTAGTTTCAAAGATTTAATAGGTAACAAATATTATTCATTCTTTAATTTGCATTCTACTGTTTATAGGTATAAGGTATTATAAAACGAATAAATACAGTCTAGAATAAAGTTTTGTATCTTATTTTTTTCTACTTTAATGTAAGATTCTGGGATCAAAGTTAACATTTACAATTATAGTTATGTAATATAATAATTGTAATCTATTGTGCAAATAATATTACGGAGCAGTAAAAAAAAAATAAAATAAGCTAATTTCATAAAGAACATACTGCCGCTGCAATCTTCATAAAGCCTCCTTTCCTATCTACACTACTTATTTCTCTAATACATTTTCCAAAATAATTTTTCTTTGCTCGAATACAATGCTAAATCCCTCTCTTTCCAGTTTCGCGCAAATCACAGAAGAACTTTAAAAGTTTTATTAACGGCATTAATTTTTATTAACGCAATGGTGCAGCAGACTAATTCTCGAAAGTAACAAGAGAGTGCCATACATGCGTGAGACTTGTAACGTAATTTCAACGTATTTGACACGATGCTTCACCTATCGCGCTTCTTATCGGAAGAATCGTAGAAAAAAACATCTTGCTACGTCTTTTACCTAAGAAGAACGCCAACGCGAGTTCGGGGAGGTATTGCTTCTCATAAGTGGGGAAGATGAGAGGAGGCAGGCAGATAAGATCGCGGGACGCGGAGCTGTGCTAGAAACGGGACGAATTACAAATCTCTGGGACGACGACGACGAGGACGTTACGCACGAGACAACAGCCAGATTTTCTAACAGCCCGGGCCCCGGGGCCCCGGAGCAAGACACTGGTTCGCGACGTTCGCGTACGGCTACGTACGGCGTACGATATACGCGTCCGTCGGCCGTCCGCGAGCTCTGCCCAGCCGCCCCAAACCGCCCGTGATCCACGATGACGGATGACGGATGAAGAATCCAGTGGCCTGTGGCCTGTGGCTGGCCCGCCCCGGCCGTACCCGTGCGCCCGTGCCCCGTACGCGGGAATCGAAAATGCCCTATTGCACTTATAATTCACATACCTATTCAGCAGGATCTCAATATTTCCCGTTCAGCACCATCTCTTACGAATTTTCTCAGTATACAATCAACCGCAAGCATCCCACTATGTATCGTGACTCACAGATGGAGCTGTACGCGTTCGATCCGGAACCCGAGAGCCGAGAGTTCAGTCCGATGTCGCAGTCGCGCCGAAGCGACCGGATGTGACGTCAGTCAGTTCCGGCGTAGCGTCAGCGTCACTAGCGTCGTTCATTTGTATGTCATGTGAATTCATGAAAATTGGACTTGCTTACTGCAATTAATGCTAGGTCTACAATGCGAGTCATAAAGTCGTGGAGTCGTAAAAATTGACCAATCACAATCGAATTTGAAGAGAATAATCGACTGTGATTGGTCAATTCTTACGACTCACGACTTTACGACTCGCATTGTAGACCTAGCATATAACTATCCCCCTCGCACTACCACGATAAACAGTTCTGATTCGTCTATCGTGGATTTTATCCAAATAGAATAAAGCGATCTAAAAATCATTTAAATGGCATATTTTAAAGTAAAAAAATGTCCTTAAGTTACTTATTATTAGTCCTTTTCGCGAACGAGTACTTTTGGACAATTTTGCGGAACCTCTGAATTAAAATTCTAAAATGCCATTCACACACACACACACATACACGCACACAAGCATGTCGCGTCTCATGCGATTATTTTTATATTTTGATTAATAAAAAGAATAAAATTGTTTCACCAGTCCACCATCAGTGACACCAGTCACCAGGACCCCTATTCTGTAACTCTAACGACAGTGTCGGTATCGTTATGTCGTCGTTGCGCAGCTTTTTTTCCATATAGTATACCTGCGCAACGACAACGTAACGATACCGACACTGTCGTTACAAGTTACAGAATAGGGGTCCTAGTGGATACGTCTTTATGATCGTATTGATCGTTCATCATGGTCGCGTTCAGCAGACCAAACCGCTCAGTAGCAGTCGAACGTGATTGGCTCTTACTTTTAGAACCAACCAATCAACGCAGAGTGTTGATAAGACGACACTCAACAGTTGTGTCTGCTGAACGCGGCCAATCATGTACTTAAAATGGCCGTACAAGCGTGCAAGGCCAACAATTAAAAGAAAGATTGCGGACATTTATGATAATATTGATAATGTAAGGGACGAATGTTTTTCAAGCCCTTAGCCGGCTTAGCCCTTACCAGGTTACCAGTTATCCAGGTCGCATCACGCGTGGAGTGATGCGAGTGCGGTTCTAGCTTCTAGCTCCAAAACTCCAAACGTTGTCGCTCGTCGTCGAGCCCCGAGGGCGAGAGGAGATTGAAAAGAACTGACAAGTGACAACTGACAAGATGAACGCGACGACGACGGAGGGTAGAAGAATACAGGATCTTCCACCAAAAGGCGGCTATGGCCCCATCCAAACGGAAAGAGTGAAATTGCGTACCATTCTTGGCGGTAAAGATTTCATTAGCTGGTTGGAAAGGTTAAGGAGGCACGTCGTCAAATTATGTAATAACGTTGTCATGAAAATTTACAGCTAAGAGCACGCTCGGGCTTCTGGTGGGCACCACGATCGTCGGATTCTATGCCTATTATCTCAATTTTAAGTACATCAGGCGACAGCAGATCGAGATGAGAAGCGCACGCTTGGCGATATTTCCAGCATTATTGGCGGAACGAGATAGAGCGTAAGAATGCTGAATGCCGAATGTCTCACGAATGTATCTTTAACTTAAATATGTGTCAACTTTGAGTGCCTGAGCCTGACAATCTTAAAACATTTACAATTAAACGTTTACAATGCCTACAATCGCTCTCTTTTTTTTTTGTTTTTCTTCGCGCAGCGTCTTGAAACAAATGAGACGTAATCGAGATGTGGAAGCAGAATTGATGAAGAACGTCGAAGGATGGGAAGTCGGAACGTACTTTGGGGAACCTATATTCTTCCTGGACGATGAAAATCAGTGGAGAGAACCGTTGTTCTGTGAACATTTTGTGCACGCTGACTACAGTCACGTTAAAGCACGGGCCGAGCGTCATGCATGGATGTAGGACGTTGTAGGAGTATCGTGTTATCAGTACTTGGCATTCAGATGTTAGCCAGCTACGGATTGTAATACGACAACCTGAAAAAAGTAGTCTTAATAATAATAATAATAATGAGTATAATTATTGCAAGTCATAATTATTATCAATAACATTTTGAAACTATAGGTTATAATAAAATTGCTACGTAACATTTCCGTTTGTCAATATTCTTTCATCTTTTTTCTCTTTACATTTCTTTGCGATAAATTTCACCTAAGGGCAACAAGTACGTTCAATGATAATAATCTCTGTGGTATAGAAGTTTTCTCTTTTTTAAATGTAGCAAATATGAAATGGAACATTATAAGATAATAGAAATGCCTATTTCACACGTATTTTATTTTAAAAAATTAAGCGAATAAATATATAGACACGATACACACATCTCGAGTTTCTCTCTTTTATTTGTCATATCGGTCTACTTATTTGTTTGTTCACATCACAGATACGCGTCGATAGTCGAGATAGGTCTAGGGTTGACATTTTTCATTTTTGTCCATCAATCGAAGAGGAGAAAAATGCAGGTTTATCCAAGATACTCCAAGATATATAGAAAAATAAATGGCATTCTAGATCTATCTCTTAACGGTTACGTGAAATCTATTTAAGTTTTATTTCCCGACCTACTGAAAAAAGCAAGGAAATTCGTGTATTTCTTTGTAAAATGAGCTTTCTAAAAATATAAATGTAAATTCTCCATCAAAGAAGTCTAACAAGGCCGGTATTCGTAATCGGTTCTTATATTTAAGACCGTCTTAAGTACAATCTTAAGACGTCATGAACCAATCACAGAGCCGTATTAGCATCTTAAGACGGTCTTGAAATAAGAATCGACTATGAATACCGGCCTAAAGTTCAAGTTTCTCTGCGAACCGTTATAATAGGCTTTCTGTAAATACGATAAGCGATCAATGTTCAGTTGTGCCATCACTAGCGCACGCTTCCTGGGCTTCCTGTAAATGCAAATGAAGCGAAATCGATTAAATCTGCTGTTATCTGTTATTGTTGCCGCGTTTCAAGATTATGCAACTTGGACTTGAATAGAGTTTATTTTGGCTCTTGTCAACAATATTTAAGTTCTTTTGCCAAGATATTGCGATAAAAATCGATTCCAAATTCTCGTTAGAAATCTATTTTTAAAATCACCCTCGAGACCTTGCTCGAGACGCAAGAGTCTGGTTGATCGAGCAAAACATCTTTCTTAGTTCCTTTGTAAAAATATACGTATGTATGTACGTAAATGATATAAAGTCCATAATAATCTCCCAATTCGCGATTCGATGGAAACGCGACCTATAAACAGTATAAACGATCATCGCGCGCAAGTCGCGAGGCGCGATAAACCGAACACACTATTAATTCGCGCTTAAATCGATCGAGGAGCGATTCAAATTCCCCCGTCCGTCCCCGTGCTCTCGCGAGCGAAAGTGTCAATGGCCGATGGCCAATGGGCGATCGACGATCGGCTCGCGCTCGCGGCAATCGCCAATCGGCGACGCTCTGGCGCCCACGTGGACGCGGCAACGGCAACGGTGGTTGCCGAATCAGCCGAATGCCGCGTATAGACGCGCGAGTGCCGCGAGTCGGTCATGTCCTAAAAGTGTCACGTGCTCGCGGCGTCGTTCTCGATTTTTTCTCGGCGAGGGCGAGTGGGATATACCTACTGTGAGAACTGGGACAAGTGGGACAATGCGATTTCTAAAAACGCGGCAACGCGCTCGCGCTCGGCCGGGCTGAGGCCGAGGGGCTGCTGTACGCGCTACGCGCGCGGCGTCGGTCGGGGCATTCGGAGCTCCGCGTTGCCGTTCCGTCGCCCATGGTCGCCCGTCACCCGTCACCCGTCACCCGTCACCGGCGGCGAAACAAGTGTCTGTGTACAAGATGGCGGCGCCCGGAGTGTTCACTGTCGCGAAGGTCGCCAGGAAGCAGCAGCGCGTGTTAGTGTCAGTGATGTCAGCGATGCCGCAGCGACGAGTGTCAGTGTGAAGTGACCGGACACGGGACTGACGGGTGGCTGCGGAGTGTGGAGGCTGGGGCTGCGTGCGCGCTAGCTACCGCAACGACGACCCGACCCGAGCCGATCCGGCCGACCGACCGACCGACCGGTGCGGTGCGGACGGCACGACGCGATACGGCGGAGTCGCAGAGTACGGGACGGTGTAGCGCGGCGCGGAACGGTGCGGTGCAGGGCAGCGCGCTGCCTAGCCTATCCCGATTCCCGGGTAGAGCGGTATCGCAGCGAGCCGAGCATCACGGCGGCGGCAGCAGTAGCAGCGGCAGCGACGGCAGCAGCGGTGGCGGCGGTGGAGGCGTCTCGAAGGATGCGGCCCGAGGAACGGAAGAGGCAACGGCAGCGACTCGTGCTCGTGGAGTAGCCTTGGCCAGCGGTGGTTGGTCAGGCAGGTAGACCGTAGACGAGCAGGACCGAGGTGTGGGACTGTGGGCGCCTGGTCGGTGTCGGTGGGAGAGCGGCGACGCAACGCGACGCGACCGCGACGGCCAGTTCGTCGTTCGTCCCGTCCCGGGCAGCTTCACGCGCGCCAGGCTACCGGAGGCTACGTCCGCTACGTCCGTCGCAGACATCGCAGTTCCTCGTTTCTCGTCCGTCCGGCTGGGTGTACGGAGATAGCGTTCAACCGACAACGTTGTCGCGCGTCGCTCCCCCGGCTCCCCGTAGTCTCGCCATCGACGCCGACTGACGCCGACGGCGACGCTGCTACGGCTACGGGGGCAAGCGAGAGAGGGACAGAGTGCGAGAGGGAGAGAGAGAGAGAAAGAAAAGCAGTGAGAGTGAGCGAGAGAGAGAGAGAGCGCGCGAGGGACGCGGAGCTTTCTCGAGAGAGAGAGAGAGAGAAAGAGAGAGAGACTGGCGACATAACGATGGCGACGATATCGATGACTACGACGACGACGATGACAACGTCGACGTCGACGGCGACAGCGATGGCGAACGAGCCAAGGAAATCTTATCACGACTTGTGTCGCCTGTGCGCCTCCTACGACGCCGTTAGGATGCACATATTCGGCCAGGAAGGCAAAAATCGCCAGCTCGTCGACAAGATCCAGACGTGCTTGCCGTTCAAGGTAAGTCTACTAACTACTAAAGTCTCCTTCTCTTTTGAGTCTTTGTTCGGACATTCTTTGCCGTGCCGAGATGTTATCCTGTTCCTCGTGGGACTCGATTTCGATCTGTTTCTCTCTGTCTCCTGTCTCTTTCTTTCCTCCGTCTCATTTTATCATCCGCAGCGTCTCTCATTTTTCCTTCCTTTCTCAATTTCGTTTACTTTTCTGCGTCACCTCCCTCGGTACTTCGCGGCCCTGCACGATTCGTCCTCGATCTTATTCTCCCGATAAGAGACGGACAGAGGCAAGGAAAGAGCGAGAGAGGGAGAGAGACAGAGAGAAGAGCCGATTCACGGACGACTCGTTCGATGTCGACGGGGCGTTACTGGGTGAAGGTTTTCTTCCCGCCGTCGCGTCGTCACCATCGGCCATCGCGCTCGTTCGCTCGCTCGCTCGCTCGCTCGTTCACCGAGCGATGCAGAGCGGCGTCCAGGCGTCCTCGGTGACGAATTCCACCCGGTGGCCATCGCTTATCGAGGACGTTGCGACCGGCGACGGCGAGGTCGGCCTGACGCGAGGAGGGACGCTTCGTCGCGCGACGCACTGGCGACATTTTGTTTGCCGCTACGACACGCGTTTCACGCTCCTCCACGAGACTTGATCGTCGTCGTCGTCGTCGTCGTCGTCGCCGCCGCCATCGCCGCCATCGACGAGTCGAGTCGCTTCATCGATGCGGAACGACAAACCGCGTTCCGAGATATTTCGAATTTCCTCCTCCACGTCAATATTTTTACCGTCACGTGCATCATCCCCCAATCGCAGCACTGGTTTATCGTCTTGTTAATTCTGCCCGTCTTCCGTGCACGTTGGGGTTTACCGGATCCCACGCGTTATAGACTTCAATTGTACACGTGAGCACGTGGCATTTAAATTTTAAGTTAAAAGATAGAAAAAAATGCCTTGTACGAAACGCATCATCTTTCCTAAGATGCACTTGTATTTTTTTTTCACAAATATGATATAAAAGTATTATCAACTTATATCTCGTAAAATTCAAAAAAATATGCTTTCGGAATATATCCAAGATGATAATGTATATATAAATGTAAAAGCAGCTTACGATGGTTGTATTAAAACGTACTAAAAATACATAAAATTTTATTTTATTTTTATTAAGCTAATTAAAGCTGCTTTTGATTAAAGAATTTTTGAAATAGGTGTTTACTATCTGCAATAAGGGGGAGTTAGGATATCTTATAAAAATTAATAATTAATAATAATATAAATAATAATCAAAGGGATATGCTTAAAATTTCAATAAAACTTATATAATCGTAGCTCATTCTTTGAGGCTGTTTTTACTATGCAATGATTTACCTACTAATACCTCCTACAGTTTTCAATGTATATATCTGGAGAAAAATTTACAAGATAAATTTACATCTAAAAAATATTCCTGATGGATATCTAGATAACTTGAAAACTTGAAATATATTTTATATAATTATAAATTGTTGCCAAAATCCTTTTCCTGTTATCAATTTAATTTATTTACAGATATTCTTTAGCAAGAGAAAAAATTAAGAATTATATTTATCAAGACATTACACTAATGTAGTAAAACTTAATACATTTTTAATGAAAACGTCGAAACTACTGTTTCAGATAATTGAAGACGATTGTTTGCCAAAAGTCCTGTGTTATCGATGTATGTACAACTTGGAAAATTTTTATGACTTTCGGACTGCATGTGTTAACGCAGCTGCTTGGTTGGAAAGAAATAGGCCGAAGGAAGGCGTAAGTATCTGAATCCAAAATGTTGAACCATTTGCTGTTTGTAAATTTCTATATTTTATTTAAAGAATTAGTTGAGCCAAATTGAAACGTACTCTTGAGCAATGTGTGTTACCAATCAATTATTGAAATTAATTGGCTTCGTATTCTACAATTTTCTCTGGTTTGAATATTTAATATTATATTAAACATATCATATTTTATTTAAAAAGGGTATATTTTTTAGTACATTGTATAATTTAACAGTTACTTTTTGTATAATGTCTTAATAGAAAACCTATGTTTAATATTTTTTTAAATACATTGTAACAGAAGAAAAAACTTGTTGGGATTGTAGTTATTAAAATTCCATAATAACATTATCAATATTATACGTTGCAGATTTATACGTTTATAAAAAATACTGATTCATTGCACGTTATATATCATAGGCGAATGACGATGGCGCAAATGACAGCGCACACGTCGGCGAGGTACACGCGGAGCTTCTTAAAGGGAAGGAAAATATGCCAGTACTTATTCCGGAGGCACCAGTGGTCAATCCTAATGCGGCATTAGGTACACCACCGAGATTAAATTCGGATGGTGAAGCGGATCCCGAGATCGAAGAGATTCTCGACACGAGTGAAGGTACGGATGAAGGTACGCTCGCGCATTTTGAACTTTATTCTTTTTATTTTGCCCGATAAACGAGTACGTTGTCGCTGACACGTGTTATTTTGATATGAAGCTACAGTAATCGACGATTCGGAAGATCGACGATCGGAATACGAGATGGCATACGAGATGGACATGGAGACGAATCCTAGCGACTTTTTGGAAATGACACCAATGGTAACCGAGGAAAATGAAGAGGAGTGCGGTACGAACAACCCGAGTGCCGCGAATACTCAAGATACCGCGGTCTTTTCACATACGCAGCCGCAAAAACATGAAGTCTTTGTCTGTTCCCTATGCAACAAAGCGTTCAGTTCCAAGGGTCACTTGTCTCTGCACGCGAGAATTCACGTGGGTGAGGGTGATGTGATCGGCGAAAGAGTAATCACCGATGACCATACTTCGTACCAACGACCATATCAATGTGATCTTTGTCATAAATCGTATTCTACTGCGAAACATCGCTGGGGGCACGTTTCTACGACACATCGGTAAGAGAGAGAGCTTCAATGACATACTACTATTTTACACATAAATTGTCTGCTAATTTGTGGCGACTTAAAGATGTCTTTAATCAATCTTGTCAAACACTCACTTGCCTTTTTATCTCTTGCAGGGGACATCCTGCGGTAACGTGTGCATACTGTTCTCGCATATACTCGACGCGATATAATCTTGATGAGCATATAAAATCACGACACGCTGGTCTACCGCCACCTCCGGAATTGTCAGTCTCTCTTTCGCGCACAGAAACTCGTTATCAGTGCCAAACATGTCCAATGGTGTATACGGATTTAGCAGATTTCAATGCGCATCGGCAGATATGCACACAGGAACAACGTACAGATCTGTTGGGGCAAACCGAAGCGCAGAACAATAAGATTTTCGCCGACACGTCCGATATTTCGAGTATATATTCGGACGACGAGAACAAAGACTTCAGGAACGCCGAGGCTAAATTGGCGAAAAATCCGCAATTAACTATATTGAAACAAGCGCTGACTAAAGGAGACAGTCTAAAACGAAATTTTGACGATGATGGGTCGACATCCAGCAGCAAGCCGAAAAAAATAGTTAAGTCAGGTAAAACTTAATTATTAAAGTAACAATAGAACGAAAATGTCACATGTAGGATTAAAACCACCTAATTTTGAACGTATTGTTATTTAGAGGAGGGCGAGACGAGTCCTCAGAAGAGGTGGTATTGTGAAGCTTGTCCACAAAGTTTTACATCGGTGGACAGTTTGAAGGAGCACGAGATTAGGCACGATGCCGAGAAACCATTTATTTGCATACTGTGCAAGAGAGATTTTGTTTTGAAATCTTCATTAATTAGGCACATTACATTGTCACATGGCGTTGATCCTACTCCCATCATTGACAGTGATAAGTGTTTAAAAACAACGGTAATGCCTCAAAATTGGAACGATCGAGTGGACGTCAGTGTTTATGAGCAAAGTGAAACGAAAGAACCACCAGAGCTCTCGTCATCACCTGAGGTAATGAATAATATAGTTTTTTATTGTTTACTTTTATGATATCATACATAGAGACATACATTAACATTACTACGATATGTTACGTTATTATGTTAAACAGATAAATTTAGAAAATGATGACAAGGATTATAAGAACAATCACGAGAATATAGAAATCGAAACGGTATTTGTATGTGAGACCTGTAAGAGAGACTTCAATGACCGAGCGTCATTATGGCTACACATACGAGCGATGCATAAAGAGTACGCTGCATTTACTTGTGGAGTGTGTTTAAAGATGTGCTTTAATAATACGCAACTTCAAAATCATGTCTATATGTATCACGGAAGGTCTAAGCTTTTAATATCGGAACAAAGAAGGTATAGTCGCTCACATTCTATAATTGTATATTTTCTTTTTATACTTTTTAATGTCACATAAAATACGCAAGTATGCATTATATAAAGTACAATAAATATAATATGCGTTTTACAACTATGGTTACAGGTACAGTTGTACGATATGCGGTAGACAGCATGACTCGAGAAAAAAGCTAATCACTCATGTCTCGATACATAATGTTGATCCTGCCTTCGATCCTGCGAATTTTGTACAATTAAATAGTAATTATTATAATGAAAACTTGAATGGTAACGAAGGAAATGAACAAGCATTAGATTTTGACGGAGACGATGGCGAGAAGGTCGATTGTTACATTTGTTATAAATCTTTTCCGACTGAGGATCATCTTATACGACATCAGAGAAATGCTCATAAGGTAATGCTGAAACGCGTGCTAATTTTTCAATAAGAATTATATAGCAATTTTGACAAACAATGTTATAAATAGCACAAATTTTTAAATTTTCTTTTCTTTATCGCAGTCTGACCAGATAGTTTCATTAGGAGAAGCTGCGGGTAGTGGAAATACTCTTAGTGTCAATGGTAATGGCAACAGGGCGCAATATCATTTATTTTTTGTTTGCGAGGTATGCGGTAGCTCACATTCGAGCAAATGGGAACGCTGGTTGCATATCAACAATACGCATAACAACGAATCTTCTATTAAAGTAAGTTTGAGAAATGAAAGGAAACTGATTCTTATCATATTGTTTTACATGTCATTCTAATTCTGTATCATTATACCTAGTGCGAATGGGAAAATTGCGGAAAGATATTCGCGACGAAGTCGTTGCGCAACGAGCATCTCCAGCATCATGTGGTACAAGGACCCTCGCCTAACACTTGCGAGATATGTGGGAAATTGTGGCCTACTCGCGTCGATTATTGGAAACATGTGATGGGCGTACACGCGGACACAGTGCCTCTAATTTGCGGCGTTTGTCTGAAAGTATTTTCTGACGTTATGCAATTAAGCGCACATGTCAAGGCGAAACATTGGCCACTAACCAGTGGTGATTTCTGTTGTGATATTTGCGGTAGACCATACTCCAATAAATCAAAGATGTCTCGGCATAGAAAGATCCATGGGTTGGAAGCAGCTATGGACGCCGCATGCGATAATAGCAGTTTCAATGAAACGACCAATGAATCGGTTAAGCCTGATCACAACAATGGCGCTTCGGAAATAGAATTAAGTTGCGAGCAGTGCCCAGAACTCACCTTCACGACATTGGACAGTTTGTGTAATCATCGACGGATAACACATGGTCTTTTTCCGTGCGATTTGTGTAACAAATGCTACGGCAGAACGTCGCACTTGTGGAAGCATGTCAATAGAGTGCATAAAGGACACGCGGATGTAACTTGTCCTTACTGCGCAAAGACAAGCGCATCAAGGGATCATCTGGCAGCACATATTGCCAAAATTCATAGGTACATGCCCGCAATGGGTAAGGATAATCAGAACTGCGTTGCTTCCAAGTCCCTGAGTGTAGACGACGGTGTCTTGCATTATTGCGAGAAATGTAACAAGGGATTCCACAAGCGCTATTTGCTCCGTCGTCACATGAAAGGCTGTCAAAACTATCGTAAAGATCCTGGTGCATTGTTAACTCGTTGTCGGGCCTGCGAGAGGATATTCAAGGATCGTGCGAGTCTACAGAAACACATTGAGAATCATCACAGCACGTACACTTGCCATTTGTGTAACGAAACGATCACTTCCAAGCTAGGTATCATGACACACAACCGCGTCAATCATATGGATCACCCGGATCTGACGTGCGACCTTCCAAGTTGTAAAAAACTCTTTCGGACTAAAGAAGATCTGGAATCTCATCGAAAGGATCACAAGTATCACAACAATCCGAACGTTTGTGATTTTTGCGGTGACACCGTGGAAAATAAGCTGAAACTGAAAATGCACGTATTATCGTTGCATCGAAACGAGATCGGAGTATCCTGTGGTGTCTGCCTGATTCCGATGAAGGACCCCAAAGATTTGAAGAAACACGTGGAATCCGAGCACAGCAGCGTTCTTTCTAATCCAAACACGTGTCAGGTATGTGGCAAGCAATATGCATCCAAGTGGAAGGCTTTCGATCACACGAAGAAATGTCACGGCAAGGTTTTCCTCACGTGCAAACAGTGTCTAGCGGTTTTCACGGATGAAAACGATATACGCGATCATTACGAGTATGTGCACAACGTTCCGAAGGACCAATTAGCCATTTTCGAATATAGAATGGATATTGGTGCAAAGAGAGAGGGTTACGAGACTCCCGATATTATTGTGAAGGAGGAACCGGATGACTTGGAGTTCGACGAGGAAATGTGTGACGAGAGTTCGAACGACTCTCGTAAACGTAGAAGATCGCCAAACGACACATACGACTGCGAGATGTGTCCCGAGATCTTTCTCAATTCGGACACTCTTGCTAAACATTATCAGAACGTCCATAACACCGACCCCGCCCGTATGTTCAAGAAATTCAAAAAAGATAGCGATAGCAAGCGCAAAATGAAAAACAGAAACAACTTTGAATGCAAGAATTGCAAAAAGCAGTTTTCCACCAAGACCTTATTTTGGAATCACATCAATGTATGTACACGGCGAAACTCGATAGGTAGATTTGACACCCCAAATAATGTCCCGACATCAATTCTGGAGTCTCATCTGAAACAAAACAATCAGATTCAACGAGAAGAACTGTCGCTACCACCGACGAACGAATCCAACTTGAACATTCCCGACTTCAATCTATTCGAAGATATTAATTTGCAATTGTCGGCTCAGAAACCTGTGCCGAATCTTATGCCATTGTCGCAGATGAAGACGACAGGTAACAACGGCAAATGCTCGAGAAAAGACTCGCGCAAGGTGTATGACGAATCGACCAATACTGAGTGCACGTGCGAAGTCTGTGGTAAGCAATGGCCCGCCAAGAAACATTTGTGGCAACATCTGATTCGTTTCCATCGCGCCGAAGCTGCCGTTACGTGTGGCGTATGCTTGAAGCTGTGTAAATCTTATCAAGATCTGGCCGACCACTTGAAGGCCGAGCATGCTCCTGTTTTGTCGCCGGAGGGCAACAATTTCACTTGTAAGATATGCGGTAGATATCACAACGCGAGAAGCAAATTGAACTTGCACACGGGCATCCATATTGGGAACCACCAGTGTCAAAAGTGCCTGCAATTTTTGGAGAGCGAGGAAAAACTCACCGAGCATACAACGAGCTGTAATGGCAAATCTGGGTTTGAAGATCACGCAGTGGCGGACGAAGATAACGCGAAAAACGATAACGACGAAAAGGGTAGTTTAATCGCCGACGAGACGTCGGTCATCGAGGGAACAGAGGAAGCGGATTTCGAATCGGAAGGCGAAGGGAGTAGGGACATTCACGATGAAGAAAATTCGGACAATAGCGAAGAAGACAATTCGGAAAATAGCGATGATTCGGATAGTGATAGTAATAGTAGTTCGAGCGAAGACGAAAACGAGAACGAAGATGGAGAGGAAGAGGAGGAGGAAGAAGAAAATGAAAACGATAATGATTCTGATACAAGATCCACTAGTCGAGAGAGCGGCGATAGTGTATCGTGTAATTCCGATAGCGACGACGAATCGGATATGGATGACGCGGAAGTGAACGCGACGGAAAATAAAGCGCTACAATTGAGCGATATCGGTAGATTCAGGATATCCGGTGACGGTATTCAAGAGAATATGCCGATGGAGAAGAATTCCAAGGATCAGAAAACCTATCTTACGTCCGTTACCTCAGCGACGGTTGCAGAACAAACGGTTGCTGGACAAAGTAATTTGAAAGATCTGTTGATTCCCAATGCACCTGCGAACATGGACAAATTTGAAGCATTTCGTCTCTGGGAATCCGCTAAAGCTGCGGCGAACGATGTAGACTTGTCTGTGTCTGACGATAACGAAGACGAGTGTGATAACGAGGTAGACGATGAGGAAAATAATGATGAAAACGAGGAAGAAGATGGTGAAGCTGGTGGCGAAGATGAAGACGAGGATGAAGGTGAGGCTGAGACTGACAATGAGACTGAGGCCGATGAAAGTGAAAATGAGAACGAAGCCGAGAAAGAGGAAGAAGAGGAGGAAGAGGAGGAGGAAAATGAAGATGATGACGACGACGACGAGGACGACGTCGGACCGCCTGTATTAAGTCCAATAATGCCTTTGTTACCAGAAAATGAATCTGAGGAGCACAGCGGCACGGCAGATCGCACGAGGCACAAGCTCAGTCCGATGGTTTCGCTGAGTATTACTAAAGAGGAGTGTGATCTGGAGGAGTGTGAAATGACCGAAATGCCAAATGATGTGGAGAACGTATCCAACGCAGCCAACCTCTTCGCGGCTAATAACAACGATCTGCCCGTAACGTGGGACGAGAACTTGGATGATAACGGAATCGACACGGGCGATTGCAACTCCGACATTGGAGACAGGGATATGGAGAAAAACGAGGAATTCAGTAAGGAGTATATCAAAATAGAAGTGAACCAGAACGATGCTTTTGAAGAGAATTCCGTGAAAAACGAGGAGGAATTCAGTAAGGAGTATATCAAAATAGAAGTGAAGCAGAACGATGATTTTGAAGAGGATTCCGCGTATGAGAACGTAGTGGATAATAGTAGAGGTGACGGAGACAATCAAGTGCACGAGGTGCATAATCTGGACGGAGCTGTGCTAATGGTGACTACTAATGAGGGTAATCAGATTTTGATAGAACCAAACGTGTTGAATATGGATAACGAGGACTCTAATGCCGAAGCAACGCAGTATATTTACCCAGAAAACGCTTACGAGATCGAGGAAGAGGATTATGCGACGCGAAATGAAACCGACGTCATGCAGACGGATGAGATGCAAGGCAGTATGTCCTACGTTCAAGATACATCGGAGAATGAGGATAGTACGGAGGTTGACATCGAGGAGTACAGCAGTGACGTGCAGAAACAGTAGGACACGAGTGCCAAAACTGAGAGGAGATCTAGAATAATAAATCTGTAATAAAGTGTAAGATAACGTAATATGGATGCTTGGGACTTGAGATTCTCAACAAAAGAAACGACATATGTACCTTGAAAAACGATCACAATATTGTATAGTAGAGTAAGCTTGTAGCTTATAGCTTTGGAGGATTTTTGATAGACTGCGTAAAAGAGAAAGAAGGAGAGGAGGAGTAAGAAAGAGAAATCACGACGATTTACACGTTTCGTTTTCATTGATCTGCCAGAGGCTTTGCATTCACGAGACTTGCGGCAACGTTGCAAGCTTCCAACTAATCGTTTCGAAAGGTAATATAATTTTGAATGATTAAACATTGTACTATATACATAAGGCGTTATTTAGATTATTATGAAAGCTACAATTTACAGGATCTTTTTTAATTTCCGATATTCGACGGATATCAACGATTCGTTATGGAATATCGTTTATTTATATCGGTAACACTTTGTTGAGACAATAATATATTCTCCGACTATTCCCGCCATGTTCACGTCAAATGCCATCCGTTAGACAATAGGACACAAATTTATGAACTTAATGATAATTTAGTCCTATCTCAAATTTAAAAAACGATGCTAAGCAGGATCAAAATCTACGAATCGCGTTACAATCAAATTTCTTTCTTTCTTTTTTTCTTAAATCCTATAATTTTTTCTTTAAATGATGACTCTAATCATTTGTAAACGTGAAGTGAGAAGAAAGTAAGTAACTATGCTGATTGTTACAAAAAAATGGCACGAAGTGAACGTCAAAAGACGTTGTATAAAACGCGTTGATTTTAATGCTATTACTGGTATGCGATTACACGCTTGTCCGATTTCTCTAATTAAAATTTTGCAAATCGACTTTCTATGTGTTTTTCTGTGCAAATTTATTCTATCAACGAACGATGGCAGAACTATACTCAAACTTGAATTATCGAATTAGATGCGTAAAAAAAATTGAGTATATTATAACGGAAATAACAAATACTATCTACGTTTTATGTCAAGACAGATTTAGCATCCTATCTTTTAGGGTTCTTTTTCTTAGCGTAGCGAAGAAGAAGCGATAATCGTGCACACTCGCTATATTTTTTATGGAAGTGAAGACAGAAATAAAAGAGTTTTATGTGAATAATAGCTTTAAATGATCAATCTGTACAGTTACGTAATGTGAGCGTGTTTGTACATGAGCGAGTGCATGCGTGTATGTCGAGAACGATACAGACGCGACTGAAGACTTATATATTAAAGAAAGAAAGCGTACCTCGATTTAAAATATTAACAGTTAGTTGAGATTAATGCGATGGTAATTGCTTTGTATTATATCCTAATTTAACCGTCTTGCAGATTTTCTCAATTATTCGAATAGTCGAATTTTGTCAAGTAAGAATCGCGAATATCAACGGGAGAAAGAATCGTTGTATCGTGTTTGGATCGAGATCTTTTTTAATCTCGCAGTTTTTTATGGATGCGTAGTGACGAAAAATTAGATATAAAAAGTTGATTTTTAGAAATAGATGGTGTTTATCTTTATCGATTTCTAACATGTCAGCGATCTCTTTTTTTCCTTATTATTTATTATATTCATTCCAAAGTAATTTCTAAGATACATTATCTTCTTATGAAGGATAATTACTGATTTGCCATGCGTATTATGCGATTGTATGTGAACGATCTACTTGGTACTGCAGGGGGGGGGGGAGGAGAATGAAATTGGAATGTTAACGGTCATTTAGAGAAATATTTAAATATCGTAAATATGAAAATTTATAATATCTTTAAATATTATGATTTTAAAATTCATAGTATTTATAGATATATGTATATTGTTCCAGTATTGTTCCCACGTCATTTAAAATCGTATTCTTTTTTTTTACATAACAATTGCTAATATTTACAGATTAGTGCCACTAAATGCGACTATTGCTGCATTTTAAGTTTATAGAGAGAATGATTATATAAGAATAAAATACATTCACAATTTATGTACTACGAATGTATGGTTATTTACATATTCAAATGAATCATACATGAATTTGCCTTACACACGTATGCATGAAAATCGTTCAGTCTGGAAGAACTTTTGATCGTATTTAAAAAATTAACGAGACGGAAATGGAGTCAATGTCAATGAGTATTACTTCCCAAGTTTTTTGCTCTGCACGAATGGAGCGTGAATCATATGTATTGTGTAATACAGACATGCGAGGACGTTACATGTATAATTTACCATAAATTATCATTCATATATTTGTTCACAATTCTCAGATTACAATAATTATTCTCCATGTGTTTTTGCAGAATGAATTTCTTATTTTATCCTTTTCGATTATTTCCTATCCCATAAAGGCATACGTAATTGGTAACTATGTTTATATTATATATTTATGCATCATAAAATCAAACATATACATCGGCACATCGCATATTATTCTTATTTTTATTTGTGAATAATAGAATCAATTTTTTTAACGAAAGTTTAATAGAAGTTTAATACAAATTACATCAATATATCTCCAACATACAAACTTAAAAGATATACTAAATTCCCCGAGAAAATGTTTCATTTATTTCGACGTACGTTACAAGAAGAAATTATATCTGATTTCTTGCCTCTGATGTTATAATCCAATATAGCTGCAGCGAACTGGTCTAGAGCTCTAAAGGCTGGTGTGCCTAACTCGGTCATTCTAACTGCGATGTCAAAAGCGAGGAAATTGCGAGGAAATACACGCGATGGATCTTGGTGCTTACGTCTATACATATAAAGGACTTTTCATCAAGAATCTACTCTAATTTGATAAAGTAAACCTATGAAGGACGTCAGTAATTTTTCCTTTCGTTTAATGCATAAAATACTTTTCATAAATAATATTTTACTTGCAAAACACGCAAGTATATTCATTGTTTGATATTTTAATCTTACCTTCACCGTTATATTCTAATTTGATGATGTTTTAAATTTATTCATGGAAGAATGGTAATGTATATTTGAGAAAATAATCATGGAGTTAAATCGAGATTGGTTAGTTTATTTGTGTCCTTTCGCAAAATATATTAAATTTTTTAAACATTTTTCTTGAGATTTGTTTCGCTTGCAGAGATATGAATTTCTTACAATCATCAAGATTATACACGCTATATGTATATAATATTCACATTTTACTTTTTATAGAACTGTTTATAAATAATCGACACATTACATAGAATTTTGTATATGTATATATATATACACACACACACGTAACAAAATGATTGTACGATATTACAATTATATACGAACAAAATAAGCCTTCTTTGGCCATTGTCATTTTCGTCGAAGAAAAGTTTAAAGTTCGGAAAACATCTTTAAACGCTATACGCGTACCTAAATTTAGGATTTTTTAGATTTCGAGATTCCTGAAAATTCTCGAAATCCTTTTGCAATTGCTTTAATCGAACTCTTCTTTTAAGTTTCACGAAATTTCTTCGTCCTTAATCTATAAACTTATTCTCGAAAATTTAATTTGTTTTATTCATGATTTTTACAGTTTTGCGATCTATTTTATGACAGATATATCTATTTACGCACAGTTAAGACTAGTATGTATGGTATCGACATTTATTATAATTACAAACTTCTTTTATTAGAATTGCAATGTGTCGCGAACAATGAGTTTCAGCATACAGTCGATCAATATACCTATATAACATTACATAGATGTTGAAATATACATATACAAACAAATTACATCACATTTAGTGCGAAACGATTGGCCAGAAACCCTAACGCTAATAGATCACTTTTAAACATTGCACGGACAAAGAATAACTCTTCACTAGTATAAAAGCGACGATCGTATGATCACCGATATGATTTTTCTTCTTCATCAAATTAATACAAATTGTAACTATGCACATTTCTATCTGTTTCGTTATAGACGAGATTCACGTTACATAAAAATCAAAATCTGTTAAAAAAGCGTTCCACCTCTCTCTTCGCAACATATCACTATTTTTTCCTTAAAAAAATAATCATGGAGCTTTTAGAGTTCGGGGTCTCATTATTGGTAAATTTTTTAGGACTTAGACTTTTATGCCCACGAGTATTATAAAATATCTTTGATCGCGTCTTTTTGTAGCTCCGTTTGATATTGAGCGGTGGAGCGAAGCAGTAGTACAAATCTTTTTTTTTAAAGATAAAAAATAAAAGGTTTCGTGCGAATATTCGATGCGAATTTAAATCATTCCGTTACATTGCTTTTCCTTCTGCAGTATACCAAAGAGAACCGTACGTATACATAATGACAAAAGGAAGGCGTTCTCTTGACGAATGATTATATTACACGTAGAAGATAAGATACGCTATATCTTCTGATTTGCACCGGTTTACCGTTATTAACCCGTAACTCGTCACACATTCGTGAATCGCGAATCGCGACGTGATAAATTCCGCCGACTCCGATTTCTCGCCCATCTCGCGAAGAGGTGCCTATCTTCGGGATGAGGGAGAAGTGATTTTCTATGTGGTCCCATAGCGCGATCATCCCCGGTGCTGATCCGGTCGGTCGTCATCAACACTGCGTCTGATCGCACTCATCGTGGGAAGTATCGTCGCCGTCGCCGTCGCCGTCGCCATCGCCGCCGCCGCCGCCGGCACCGCGTTTGATGAGGACCCGCGTGTGATTGTTGTTGCCATGATTACCTGGCCGACCCGTGGCGATCATCTGCACAGTCTGCTGCTGCAGCTGCTGATCCTCGCTCGACAATCGCTTATTACAGTCGTCGTCCTTCGGCACCGCCGACGCTGCCGGCTGATAGTCACACCTTCTCCTCTCCCGCCATCGGACCTGCGGTCGAGCGGATAAACTGAAACAGTCAACGTTCCATAATGGACTCGACTCGGGCACGCTGCTGTCACTGGCACGATACGGACGGATCATTCGTATACACATATATATTTCTTTTTCCCTTTTCCCCTGTTTCATTCTCTCTCTTTCTCTCTTTCTCTCTCTCTCTCTCTTTCTTTCCCTCCCGTGGACAACACATGATTAGTGGCCCGTTAAAAACGCAACATCGCCCCATTAAAAACGGCTGGCAGTCCACGTCACGTGGGTTAGTATGCGTGTGGGTTAGTACCGTTGGTACGCGGGTGAATTAGTCACAGGAGAGGGACTGATCGTGTGCGTTAGTCCGCATCGCACCATTGACGAGTCGTGCATACGGGAATTTCCAATCGGGAGACCGTTACTCTCTCCTCTCTCCTCTCTCTCTCTTTCGTGCGTCAAGTGCAAATTCTCGTTAAAATTGCAAGGGTGTGCTTCATCGTTCCCTAACATCAGGTATAAACGTAGAATAGTTACGTTCCAGGACATTCTAGATTACTATTACTTATTATGGCACGTAAAACGTAAAATGGTCCATGAAATTCTGTACTCGCGATCGAAGAATCGGTGGATTGAGAGGAATTGATAGAAATTCGTTCCACGCATACTTGTGCAAATTCCGAATCGCCAAATTCACGAATGCTTTGAAATAATTTAATTCGTTTTCTTCTGTTTAAAATTAGAGGATACAAATTTTGGATAACAATTATAAAACATATGGTACAATACATTTTTTTTCCATCTTACATTGGGGACAGTATATATTGTGCAAACCTCACGGACATTTTCATGATCTTTCGATGATACTTGAAACTAAATAAAAAGCATGTCTCATATTCGTTTTTCATTTACATTGTGTATTAAAATAGACAGACAGATTATTAGCATAAACGCCAATTAAATGTCAAGGGAAATTATGACGTAGCTATACTTTATCTCCTCGAAAGGATTAAAGAGATTACTAATATAATCGTTCGTGAGTTATACAAAGTAATGGAAGTATGCTGATAAAAGATTTCAAAGGGCGCTGAATTAATCCACGATTTCGGAGATAAGGAATTCAATTCCACGAAACCGGGTTTCCTGCCACTTTCTCTTAATCCACCTGGTTCTTCGCTCAGTCTTATTTTTTGACGGGTGTCGTGGAAAGGTGGGCGGGAAGCTTATAAGGCGTCGTTTAAATCGATCCAATCGCAAGAGAACCCTGTACTTTTCGTCAATATTCCATACCGAGACTGTTGTGGCCGTGCAGGAAGTGGCTCGTTTTCGCAAAAAGGCGTTGCCATCCCACTTTCTCTTGAACTGTGCTATTACCTGTACAACACCGCGAGAGAAAATATCATTACATAGCACGAAAGTTACTCCGAAGGCAGTAACGACTGTTTCCGTAGTCATAGGAACTTACCTCGCCATTGCAAAAGCAGAAAAGCACAGCCACACAGAGACCCTGGAAGAGAGAAATTACATTTTACCTCGACATCGAGCTCGGGAAAACGTTTCCGAAGAAAATTCCCGTCGACTTTATCACAATTTCTTTTGCATGAGATACGGGGTTTTCCGATTAACTCTCAAATTTAATCGTATCGCCAATGAGCTATGAAATTTTATTCCCTTCTCTCATTTCACTCTACATTATTATTGTATGCACGGAAAGTTGCAATATGCTAGATAAGACCAATTCGATCTTACTTTTTCTTTTTAACGGCGAGGTCAATATTTTAATAGCTACCAGATTATACATGAATATCAGTTAAATTGGATATTTAATTGCTGTATTTAAACTAACTAATTTGTGAAACAAAGCATAAATGTTTATATTTCAGGAAAACTTATATATATTTGCGTTTCCCATACATTTCCTTACATACTTTTATTTCAAATCACTTCTGTAGATAGATAAGGAATAAATGTAACAAAGAAATTACAAAGTTAATCGATCGAAATTACTTTTTGGAATGTTTCTCGATGCACGCGACACGCGACATTGTTAAGATATATGCGCATATATGCGTTCTAACGACCATGTTTTTTCAGATATAAAATCGTTACACCGAAAAAGCTTTCAAATACCAAGATAACTGATTCACTCGACAGAATCGTTCAATTAAATAGCGATTCCATCGATTTTATACGATATAAAGCGATTATATAACAATGCGCAGTCATGTCGGCAGTGTCGTGCGTGAAAGCGCAATTTCGCACAAAATTTGATTGCTCGATACTCGTATTGCTTCGGATGAGAATCTAAAAAGATATCTCTCTGTCCTTGTGTTTACGTCGAGAAAAAAAATGTAAATATTGCTCAAAGAATTCATCGTTGTTGAATTTTTAGGTGCAATAGCATTCGAATATTCCATATATAGTGGGTACCAGTATTTTTTTTCCATAGTATACAAAAAGTCATATCTCTGACTAAACCGAGTGGTTAAAAAAAAACAAATGACTGCATCATGTTTCAAAAGATATGATATACGTTTGTTTCTAACTACAATTCGCTATTTGATTTTGAGACTGGAGATTTCCACGAAAGATTAAAATCCCGTTTTTATTGCAGAGAGAACACTTTGTATTCATCGGATTCGATCATATTTGTAATGCTATATGTATTTCAATTATTTAAATTGGCGAAAGATAAAATTTACTTTGTTAATTTATTTGTTTGTGTGATACATTTTATAATATATACGTTATATACATGAAGAATTTCCGCAATATATAATATGTAATAAAAATCAATTTTACATTGACGAATGCGTCGAGATATATGAGAGAGTAGGCTGCAATAAAGTACAGTGCATATTAAATGCATGAAGCTATCCGATGCATGAAGCTTTCCAATGTACGAAGATTTATAATCTTGATTTGATATCTGTTCGAAACATATGCCATGAATGCCATGATGCGCAATAGCGCAATACGATTTTCTGAATACAGACCCATTTATATATATGATTGTGTATAATTTACTTTATATCGCTTTTAATTGTAAATCAATACGCAAAGGTTTAAAAGTACCAACCTGAAAAGAAGCTGTGATTGCGGAAAGGACTTCGTAAAATTTCTCCCAAGGATGGTCCTTTGGTGGCCGAAACGGAATTACTAAATAGTGAAGGCCCAAGAGAGGCACTAAAAGTAACGTGGCCCTGTGATAACAAAATATTAAACGTCGTCATAAATTGTCAGTATTGTGAATAATTATTGTAATTAGTTTGTAATGTGAAAGTATAGTGTTCTTTCGTTAATAACAAATTATCAGCAATTACTTGTGTTTCATTTAAATTAATCATATTGACATTTTTTTTCGTAACAATGAAAAAAGACTAAACTGTGACACAATTAATAGTATTGGATAGTATTATTTGGTGAAAGTTGACACGTGTTTGTCAAAATAATTCGCTGATAATTTATCGTGATTAAAAAATTGCATTGTACATGCTCGTAAATCTCTGTAAAAGGGATACGTTTGTTACGCTCTTTGTTACGTTCTTTTCGTGCTGTCATGTCAATGTACAATTTGACGTGAAAGGTAGCATACAGAAAGTGAAAAATTCAACTACCTGAAAGCTTGCAGCATAGATCGTGAAGGGCGCGTTCCAATGGCGGGACCGGCACGTAACTTCGTGAGAAGTACCCTCACGATATTAAACAGGAAAAGCAGATTCAACAAGGTGGAAACGCATACGGGATAAATCAGCGTGTTCATATAGTTGCCCTCGTTGATCCAGCACCTAATCGTAACAATAATTTAATTCGTTATTTATCCGTTTATTTATAATTAATATAATTAACCTGTTAATTCGTTTACTGGCTAACGTAACATCATATGTTATTATTTTATTATCTTAATCATGATGTATAATTCTGTCCATCTTACAATTCATGTGTTCTTTTTAATTGGTATGTAAAGACATGAAAATTTATATTCCGAATTCTAATGAAGTATATTGTAATAAATTGTGTGCACGGTTTTTTCTAAAATTTTCTTTCAAAAACGTTGAATACCGCAGACGCATCATGTCTGCCACCAAGAAGATTAATGAAATGTTTATTGGTTCATTACAAAATACATTCAACATATAGTTTTTCTACTTTCATTGAGGAATTGCTTCGTGCACGAACGTCGTTATCTTTGAAAGTTACACCTTTGACAGATTGATATATTGTGCATGTGTCATTCGTCAGATACAAACCCGTATATTTAACACCTTTATTAATAAGGAAATAGGAAGTATATAAGAAAGAAAGCGTTCGTGTGCATCGAAGATGATCGATCGTACCTCGATTCTTGTGTGTACCTAAGTATATCCACATTCGTGTGTACAGACGCTTAATATAAATCCCTATTCTAACAAACTTGATAGGAAGACGATGAAAAATGTCAAGGGAATAACTTCGCGATGAGCTCTCTGTAATAAATACAAAAGGTAGAGGAAGATACATAACAGATTGGAGGTTCGCTGCTATAGATATTGCCTTAGTGCCTTAGTCCGGTTATAAAACATTTACCCCACGTGATAGAAGGAGTATATTGCAGAAATATATATCGACGAAAATAGATGGATAAGCGAAGAGTAGCGGATGCTGACGTCGAATCTTGTGTAAAACAATCACGAGAAGACTCTAAAAATAAAATCTTTCCTTCGCGGTATAACAATATATAGATATACATATATAAAACGACGAATATAAGTCAAAGTTAATAACAGACGACTGTATTTTTATCGAAAAATTTGAGTTACTTCTCTCGATAAATAACTTGTTAAATAGACGATTCCGATCGATCTCAATGATCGTCGGCTATTAGCCATTGCTAGCAAAGTTATTTCTTATTTAACATAACAGATTGCATGCTTTAACGAAAATACCGCCGTTATCGTGACATGCGAACGTTTCCGTAAAATTTCCGCATCCACAGTAACGATCGACTCGACAACATTTGCTTTCAATATGACATTGTTTTCATCAACTTGATACTTTATAACGTGGCGTCGATGTGGCTCGTTGTCGAGCCGTTTATTTCATCAATGTTCCGATATGTTTCAATCTGCGTCGCTCGTAAAGCTATTCGTATACACATATCCGCGGAACGGATGTATGAATATGTTTCTGGCATCTGTGGTGCAAAGATCGAGTATTCTCGTGTTATTTCATATAATGGTATGTGCCGTGTAGAGTAGTTTTCAAACAAATTTTAATATTTCTACTGAATAATCATTTTAATTAGCCGGTAACAGCTGTTATATTGATAATGAATGTCATGAAAAGCCATTTAACATACATATCGACAGACATAAAATCGAAATTGAAACAATGTTATTCAATTAGTAGAAGTTAATTAGATTTTATTTGAACTCTAAATAAAGAATCAAATAATAATACAAAAAATACGTGTACTAAAGCGTATCCGATTAAGATACAAAATGTATATCTGAGGCTTGTAAGATGATTAGTTCTAGTAAATAATATATGATTGAAAAACCATCATGTTCTACGATGTTGGGCCAATTACTTAATATAGTTATGTACTTGAAATTTTAGCGCAGCGTGTTGTAAATTTAATCTTCAAACTCCGTAAAAGTTTTAAAGTCGAGCGACGTACAGGTGTAATGGATGCCTTATAGTGAACTATGGCACGATGGACCATGACATTCGAAATTGCATAACGTGGCATATTCATCAAATGTTGCCCTTTCATTAAGTTCACGACGTTCTCTGGCCTTTATATTTTGTGTGAAACTCACGTTGCGGAAACTTCCGGTAAAGTAAAGTACTTACGCCTGCGCCGCGCACTATAGGAAGTTACGAGACGAACAAAAAAAAATCGTCGCAAAACGCGTGCACGCTATACACGCATACCTCGATGAATTATTCTTCCAAAAAAAAAAGATAGAACAACAATACTTCTTTTGTGACCGAGACCTCGCTTTTAGTAAAGTAACGAGGGTGCTCAAAAGTGCTGATTCAATCTCGGAGATTTTCTCGGGTATACTTATGGTATAGAAGAAGGTAGCGGTATGTTTTATTAGCCCTTAAATTTCTGATCGCATCAAACTTCGATGAAAACTCAAAAAACTATGAAGGTAAAACTAGATTAGTCAAAATATTACTTAATCGTTTTAAATCGTGATACAAAAGAATAACTGAATAACGTACTATCGCAAAATTTATATGGATATTATGCAAAGTTTTATAAAAATACGTCTTTCTTAAATTTCCTGGGAAAAAAAAATAGAAAAAGAAGTAGGGATACAAAATGTTATAGCTTTATATTGTTGATCCTGACAGATATGAAAATATTTCTACCTTATTTCACATTTCCACCATTTTTCTTATTACTCTTATATAGCGCGGTCTTCTCCGTATACAAATTCATGACTTAAAAGACGATGGCGTCTTTTAAGATGGTTCATGCACAAAGGATACATGAAAATCTTTTGGGGGAAAAAGGTTTCTACAGTAATTTATGTAAGATACTCCTCCTATAATGATCGTTGGCTATAAAAAGATTTCGCATAAAAAGGTCAAACGTGAGATTTAGAAAAGTTTTAGATAAGAAAAAAAGGTCTTTGGGATCGTTTACTGTTTTCTTACATGATTTAGATACAATCTTAATGTACTTCTTCAAGGAAAAATATATAATTTTCTTGATGATTCTATCGCGTTTAATACAAAAAAATTTTGTTAAAATTAAATATAAAATAAAATATTATACAATTTATCAGAATATTATTTTAACATAATAATTTGTAAACTGCCAAAACATTTTGTCAATTAGGTATGCAAAAGAAGACGATTACTTTGTTTATATAAGCATACCGATTTCTCAGCATGTATATATCGACAGTTTTCGTTCGGCTATCGTATATAATGGAACGGTAATGTGATTGTCGCACCGTGGTTTCGATCTTCTACCACGGCACATTTAGCTATCGTGGCTTCATGGTGGCGGACATACCTAATTTTACCATCACGTACGCAACCGACCGCATGCTGTTCTTGCTGAGAAATTAGAGTAGACCGGCACCCTTTCCGTGGTCGGTCGGTGCCACAGGTCAATAGTCTCCTTCAACGAATCCCAAACACTTCAATTAATAGGCTCGTTCAATTCCCGTAGTCGTTTATCGGAAACGCATTAGTATTACAGATCCGAAAGCGAGTTTCCTTAATTCGGCACGGTCATATTTTTGCACGCGCTACGTGCCTAACCAATTGGAGAAACATTTAGAGATTCCGTTTTTTTTTCTTTTTAGTTTCAGTTTTAATATAATTCTAAACGGAATTGTAATAGAGTCACGATTCACCAAAGAATCATGATTCGGAATCCGTTACATACATATTTAATATTTCTAATTTAATGTACATTTAATATTTGTCATACAGTATCGGTCAAAAGTTGCATCATCTTTAAAAATATATAAAACGCAAGTAAATTATTTTCCTTGTATTTTCCTCAAAGCATTTCTATCGAAGTGTGAAATAACAGTACTAAAATAAAATTCGATGATATATATGTACGTCTTTCTTGATTAAAGTAACGAGTTTCCTGTTTCCATAAGCTGATGTATACTCTCGACCGGTACTGTATAAGATTTGCTTGTTGGAATCTGTGTGGTACCTAAGTCTGTTTTAGCATTCTTCAGCATTTTTACAATGAAAGGTGTTTAACGCTATCCCTCATAAAATGTGAACCTCAGATAAAACTAACAAGAAATATGTTAATCGATTGTCGGACCATATGTGTTATTCGTTTCTTTCCCAACACACAATGTTTGATTGCAGGAATGCTATACAAGTGAAGTTTTTAATTTCCATTCTATAAATTAATAAATACGATATTGCATTAACCAGTTCGAATTTAATGCCAGAAAAAAAATAATAAAATGTAAATGCGACAGTAACTTTACTTCTTCTGCTTATTATATACGATAAAAGCTTTTTTAATCCACTGTGAGATTCAATCTTTTATTCGATTTTGATTTTTCTTTATCTATTTTGTGCAACAAAAGCTTCTTTTAATGTTGTTGGCATAGTAGAAGTACGTTTTACAAGCGTGACTGACCATTGATAAATTATTACTTACTGCTCGGTGTCCGCAGGGTCGTCGCTGGATGCACGTAATGCTGTGTATAAGGTGACGATTACAGCTGGCACTGGCCACCCGAGTCCCATCAGCCAATTCACTAATTTGTGCTCGCTAGTGAATGCACTCACTAGCAACGTGTGCAGGTAGAAGCCTTCGCAGAGCATCCAAGCGTAGTTTGTTAATAGAAAGTAATGAAGGACTACGTGCAGAACGCGACATGATATCTGCAAAGTACGCGCACGACAGTTTATGAATGCCTCTTCAAAGTCACTCAAGTCATATTCGCTCTTGCGAACTATCCGAGTAATTGTGCTACATTAAGCTTAAATATAATATAACAATGTTTCCTGATGACGTCGATTTTCTCCATTTTTTAATAATTCTATAATCAAAAAAATTGTTATCATTTTTAACAATTTTCTAATTACATTATTCCATATATGTATCATTGAAACATATTCTCTCTCGTATTTAGCTTCGTATCACAATTAGTCTGATTAATTCTATTATTCTTTATATTCAGTTTATTTTAAATAAACATCTATTTTCCATCAGCATAGACAATTTTTAGAATTTTTATAAATTGCAATTGATACAATTTTTATTAATTGTAAGCGTGTAGTCTTTTTCTTTTCGGTACATACTTAACAATTAACTAAACCGCTTGAAAAGAAAGAAACTAGTTTTAAAGTTTTAATGATAGCACAAATGCTCTATTTCCGTTGTCTTAATAAATACATATCTTGAGTTATAAATGAAACATAGTCCTTTATTTTCATATATCTTTTCCCTTTTTTTATAGACTTTTACAATATTTATATTCTTAATACGTACGCCATTATTAAGTAGTAGATCCGTATTCGCTACTATGAACCTGTACCAGACCAGCCATAAGGCATTGTTGAACGCAAACGAGATGAATAGATTCATATGCAGCGTAATCCGTGCGCATCTGAGAGATCTGCGTGTAAAGAAACAAGAAAGTTCTCTCAATCGCACTTCTCTGAAGCCTTTTCAACGAATCCTAAACTTCATGTTACAGAACAGTAAAGAAAGATCTAAAAGTGTTTCACTACAAACAATTGTATATGAATGACATCCGTCTAGATTAGGTCGCTAAACAGCATACTAATTTGATATTTCGAATAGAATTAATAGTCTACGTCTTTGTTAGTCTCTTCAGTGATAAGACTTACTTATTTTCTAGATAAGAAACATCTAAAACTTGTTCAAATTAAATGACTATAATATATATGATATAATAAATAATATAATAACACATTTTAATTTTTCTAGAAATAGATCTAAATTAAGAGCTTTTAATATTCACAACAATATGTTCTTTTAGCCTTTTATCTTTTGAGATACTTCTTAAAAAGTAAACTTCTTGCTTTCAGATTTTGAGAAACTACGAGTTCTGTTATTAAATTAAAAAAAGATATTATATATTTCCTCTTAAGCGATCCAATTTAATCGTATCTCAAGCGCAGGATACATCTGAAAGTAATTCTCCAAGTTTTTGCATTAACGTACTCTAGCGCGCATACAAATTTTAATATCCCGTTGAGATAGCAGAGATAATAACAACGTCGATAAATTTATAACTTACCGGAAGTACGTGAGAATTCCTAAGGAAAGCAATAGAGCTACCAAGGATATCGCGTATCCCGCCTCGTAGATTCCATTTATACTTTGCTGCCACTGTAATCATATTATCAAAATTTAAAACTTCATTCTCACATTTCAGACCAGTTTGATAATTTTTAGAGTGTTGCCTTAATTTTTATTAATCCATATTACGCGAAGGGCGCGAGTTACGATCTTATTATTTCGTCAGAAAATTTCACAGTTTCAGATTGAGGGTCGACTACGATGTAGTAGAGAGCGAGTAACGCGAATCTGACCCCAATCGTTTCTTTGATTAATTATCATGTCGCCGTTGCAATCTCGTTGCGCGTGTACCGTAGAGGAGGCTAACTGCCATCCAGATTTGTTAAACAAAATTATTTTTATTTTTTAGGAAGTATTCTTTCAAAAATATAAATTTAGTAGATAATGTAGCTCAAAATTCACGCAGATAAAACAAATTTTTCGTATTAAATGAAAAGAAGTTAAAGAAGTTGTTTCGAAAATAAGAAGAAACGATTGCAAAACAGAGAAATAGTGTAACCAATTAATAAAACTTTATCGTGATAAAAATATTGAAAAAGTTGTGAACGGTATTCTCTTTTTTTCTTTTTAGTATATTTCAGGGCGAAAATTTCCAGGACCTATATAACAAATATAAAAATCTACATTCGAGAAATTTATCCAAGTCAATCACGACTCTCCTATCGCTCTCGTAAACGCATTTTCGTAACAATATTCAAACCTGAAACTAGTTTTCGGAAATGCTACGGATTTTGTGAATGTCAGAAACTCGATCAGAAACTCGGAGCTCAGACTGAAATCATAAAAAAACTACGAGTCTCACGCAAATCGATTCTCCCATTTTTTCGTTCCGAAATATGCACGAGCAACGCAGTTCGCCTGGCGTTGTCGTTTTAAAATTCATCCGCTTACGAGATCCTCCGTGTGCCTCGGCCCCCTCGCAACCGAGCTCGCAACCAACATATACTTCCTTTACGCCGTCGCATGCAAATCTTGCCGCATCTGCAAAGCAAAGTCGGCTAGTAATAGGGCTTCGTAACGTTGTCCTATGTATGACAAATGCCTGCCAGGCACGAAGTGTTTATGAGGCTCGCCGTCCGAAAAACATGCCTCATGACCTACGTCGAGGACGGTCGAGCTTGAAAAATTAATCGAGCTTGTTTCGCGTACGGAAGAAAAATTTGTGCTTTGTCCGAAAGCCCGAGCGTATAATCTCGCTCGTTATAAATATGTAAGACAAGCAGATGCTCCGCGATTTGCCATCAAAAGAATCTATTCCCGTATTTATTAGAAGTGGATGATGATAGTAGAGAGCCTGGGGAAAGGCATTAACCCGTTGTTCCCCGCGAGACCGGAAGCAGCATTATTCTTAACCGCCACCGTATACGAACGCGAACGTCGCGTTACTTATTAACGCTACAGTTGCACGAAAGCCTACAAGTCTGCGCTTTCATGGCACACTATTCATGGATAAGGTGCTGCAGCTTAAATCGCGCGCAAATGTGAATTAATATTTAACTCGGAATGTATAAATCTCTTTGCAGTATAGGCGTTTACGCGAATGCTCTCAAGACAAAAAAAAATTTTTTTTAAATGAAAGCTACTAGATATATGTATATATGTGTGACTTGATTCTTTTATCGAATAATTCTTACATGTTATTACGTTTCACGAAATATAATTTGCTTTGGCAAAACTCGTTGTGAAGGCGATCTAATTTTCTTATAATTACCATATAGCCATTATATCATCGAAATAAAGGCGAAATATAACGATTAGCATAGCGATTTCGATATATGTAAAATATAGTGAGAACATTTTGCTGTTAATTCTAAATGGGATAAAGCAACGTTTCGATATTAAGTTTTCAATTTCAGAAGTCGAATAAGCCACAAAAGAGCCAAGACATGTGTATATCGAATAGGATTACGGAACACGCGATTGAAAGCGAAACATGAAGAGTTCATATCTTTAATCGAATCGAAAAATATCATAATTATGAAAATTAGGTCCACACCGCACAGCTTTAAACGGATTTCACGCCGTGCTACGGTAGTTGGAGCTAAATAATTCATGAAGTTCGGGTATACGCAGTCTCCGGATACTCCGGATACCGGGCTCTATCTTGAGATTACACGGCACTTGATACGTTAATAGTGTAGGTAGGTACGAGCCGGGTCTCTCTTCTTTCGGCTGGCCCAATCGGATTAACGCGGAATCCCGGAAATTATACCGCTGTTGCATGCGGGGACACGATAAATTTTATCTACGCGAACAAAGCGATAATTGTATCCCACCGTTTCACCCATGTTTATTATGTATCGATAGTGAGGATTACACTATCTCCCGCGCTACATTGCAGCTTATTGTCGTTTGCGTCCGCGATCCCGTTAATATTAGGAGATAGATGAATCCTCAATTTCGTACATGTCGTATTGTCGAATTGAAATCGAGCTATCGCTGTTTACCGATCGTATTGGATTTTGGTGCGAAGTTCCCGCTGCGAACGCAATGAATTCGCGCGAAACGTGACAATATCGCGCGATACCATCAATTTCGACAATCGAGAGCTGCAAATCTATATAAAATAATAAATCAAAACGATATAAATATTTACACTTTATATTGCATATTTTCAATTATTACACGGAGAGAATTTTCCCTTAAAATTTACCCTGAAATCATGGTAGTTGTGGGACAACATGATTTTAAGAATTTTTTGTGGAATAATAAATAATCTTTTCAGAAGTTTATGTTTTTACTCATATTTTAACTGTGTATACAGTGGCAAGCCCATTTTTTAAATTATACGTCACTATTCAATATCTTGTAACTTCACCAATTTCTCAATGAAATTTGAAAGACATATTCTCCAGATATACTTTTAAATAATATATAAAAAAAGAAAAATGGTATTTTTATAAAGTAGAAGAACTTTTTAACTAAATAATATTATTAACTTCAAACACTTGAAACTAATAATGACTCTAGAATGGGTCATACAAAGAGTCAAAGAAGTAATCTTCAAACTAAAAGTAATGGAAATGCATCTAACTATCTCTTGTCCCTGGCTTCCATTAGTTAATCTCTATGATTATCTCTCTCCCTCTCTAATAATTAGAACTGGAAATTTAAGAGAAAGCTTCGGAGCAGTTGCTTTCCGCGCGCGGAATATAAGAGAAAATACAGAGATTTTCAAGAAATAAATTTCAGAACTACGAATAAACAGGGAAATCTTGTTTATTATTTAGACACAAGTCAATGCAAACGAGGACTTATCAGGACCTATATTGGTCCAACTGCAAACTTAATGAAATATCATACAAGTATTACATAACATTTTATTGCAAATTTTATATAACCAAGTACGACCCTTTCGTTCTTATAGTTCTATCTTCTTATTGTTAAAAGTATAACAAACGTCACATAAATTTTAACTATGGCATTTTAATTGCAAGTTAAATAATTGTCATCAAAACGTAATCTTGTGAATAATAATGTCGAAGAATAATTATGCAAACAATAATCATGCGCAAAGAATAATCATGCACAGAGTAGTTATAGTGCAAACATCATACATGACCGTCACATGACATTTCATTGCAAGTTTTATATAACCAAGTTGTGCAACTCTTTCGTTCTTCTTTTCAGTTCTTCTTACTCCTTGCTAAAAGTGTAATAAACGTCTGTCACAGAAATTTTTCCGGAACTTTATTCGAACTTGGACTTTCTGTGAAGTTGTTATTTTTCCTGGCACTTAATAGGTCGCGCAACGGCCAAACTGCATTAAAATAAATAAGTAACTTGACACATATTTCTGATCATGCTACATTGTCGATTGTAGCGCATTTTGTGCAATTTTATAAACAGCGCTTTTAGATAATAAATGCGTTGCAAGTTGCAAATGATTTCCTTTTAAAATAATTGCCAAACAAAAGCGAGCAAGTTTATACTGACGATGAGAATTTCAATCAATTTACATGCTTTCGGAGGACGGGATTGGTTCAGTATACAATTACCGTCCAATGCATTTTAAGTGCGTTTATTTCCATAAGCCGTTTCCTAGTTTTACGATAATATTTATCTTTAGAGTCCAGATGTTGCAGATGTTAGAAACGCGAATCGATGACGATGTGTAAACGTTCATCGTGTATAGAAGTGAATACAAAGGCTTTTGTCATACCGTCGCAGCACTACAAGCGCAAAGAATCGGTTTCATTTGAACATGCAACGGCGCGGCGCGTACGCGACGAGAATTCAGCTCACGTCAGACACGTGTAATTTAAAAACTCGGGAACAGACCGCCATCTCCGCGAGAAGCAAATGTATCACTGTGTAATTTGCAAAACAAGAAAAAAGAGAGAGAGAGAGAGAGAGAGAGAGAGAGAGAGAGAAAAGAGATAGATAAAGGGTGCGTGCGCGCACAAAGGTAATTTGATTACGACGGCGTATCATTAGTGGAGTCTAATGAATCCGTTCGCAATTTCGTGTTCCACAGAATAAGTGCCGAGATTAGAAGGATTAAGTAAACAGGAAGATTACTCTGATAGAAATCACTCAGGCAGATTACCTCGCTGGACAAGAATGGCAACGCTACATGCAAAAATACATATATCCTCTCGAGCTTTTCCGCTAAGCCGTCTGGCCTCGTTCTCTGGACCCGAAAGATAAGTGCGCGTTTTATCGTCGTTCATAAAATAGAGTACCACGAAGTATTTTTCACCATTTCGTGTCCTTCGCATCAAATCCCTCACATTGTACAAATAATTTTATAATTGAGTAAACTCGTGTGAGCAATCGCGTCTAAATTGTAATTATGCGAAGAACTCGGTTCGGTATATATCTAATATTGAATTAATTTTCATGTTAATTATTTGACGTACAGTAGGATAGAAAATTGGAATGCGAAATACTTGTTATGTTGTTGATAGCTTGGAAAGTTTGATCTCTAAAATTAGAAACTGAATAAAATTGAAGAATTATGCAGGCGGTCTTTCTTTTCTTTTCTTTTTTTTTTTTTTTTTTTTTTTTAAGGAAGAACCAAGTTGCACAATATTTAAAGTTTTTCTTACGTTGCTATTACGTTGCTTCCTCAGTTGTTTTTCTCTAAATTTATCAGCTATTAATTTAATTAAAAAATTAATTTTGCTGTCCCTTATTTGTGCTAGTAGTGTTGTTAAAATCATCAAAACGTTTCTTGCTCTTTTCAAGCTTTCCACATCCTTTCGCAAAGTTTAAAATTCTTCACTCGGTGCTTCGAATTTGTCTTCGTTTCATCTTACGGTAACAAAACCTTGCTGTAAGAACTCGAAACGGGCTCCGTGGCGAGCATGGCATTATGTTCGCAATTTTAGCAGCGTCGCGATGAAAAAGGCACGAGTATCGACATTGACGTCAACGCGTGTTAGAAGTGAATGCCTTCACGATGACGTGATGGATACACTAAGAGAGAGGGAGAGAGAGATAGAAGCGGCTTCGACGAACACGAGAAGCGGCTATGACGGGCCACGTTCTAAAGGATGATCACGCTATGTGTATCGGTACCGAAATGAAGCTGGTCCTAATGAATAGAGCGCGGCTCGTCAAATACATGAGAAGGGTTGACACGGATGGCGTTACGTAAAAGCGACTCCTCGCAAGCGGGAAACGGGAAACGCTTCATCGTATTATCGTACTGCCTCACGCGTCAAAGGCACGTTGCTTTCCGACGTTAATCCTGTAAGAGCGGCGCCGCGCGGGCGTCGAAAAATTTATAAAGGGCGTAACTAGCGGCACGAAGGTCGCTTAAGATTAAAATCCATTTGTCTCGACGGATAAATCGCTTTGCCGCTTTAACGGTTTCGATACATCAGAAATATCTGGAGAGATACTGGCCGTTAAAAGGATAACATTTAAAGAGATTTACGTATTGACAGAAACTGAGAAATTCAGGACAATTTCACGCTCGTTTCATTTCTATGCCTCGCGTTCTCTTTTTGCTGAAATTTCCGGTGCGCGCATCATAAATCTGTTTCACCGAGCCGTCACAGTTGCAGCGACGAGAAATCAATTCTTCGAAAATAAATCGCAAGAAACGTTTTTTTTTTTTACTCTTTTGTTTTCGCCGTAGCGTTATTATCCGAAATGACCGAAATATCGACAATGCTCAAACGAATAATGTATAGCAGACCCCGCCGTATCGTCCGTTGCAAGTTGCAAGGCAGATTGCGAAGTCGCGTGATCGCTGAAATTGTTCCTCTGTGCGACGTTGCGATGCAAAATAAGTAATACTCTCCCTGTCGGATGCAGCGTGCGTGTCTTTCAAATATTTCAACAAACGCGCGCGTCCCGTTCGCTCAAACGATATTAGCTCTCCGGCGAATATACGAGTCGGCTGATCGTGAGCCTTCAGGCAGAATAACGCGGAATCGAACCCATATGTCAGAATGGCGATGTTCCGCACGAGACTGAGAGGATGTAAAACTGGGACTCGCGTGTGAGAATTTGTATGTTATTTCCCAGAGGGATTAAACTCTTCCCCCCCCTCCACCTTCTCCTTCGCGTCATCCGATGATTTTAACCATCGAATTTTTCAAATATCTTTAAAGGTCGCGATCCCTTTTATACGGCAATGTTCTTCGATATTCCGTCTCTTTGACGTGGTAAAGCTAGAGATAACTTTAATATTCAATTTATTGTATACGCGAATAGAGGCAAATACATTAAGAAATAACTCACCCTCAGATCCTGTAGATTTACACAAGTCGTGTAATTGCTCCATATTTGATTAGATTCGGGATGTCGGAACCACGTACCGTTCAGCTCGCAGTATTTGTGCGCCATCACTGCAATAGAAAGTGTTGGAATATCAAATGAGATGTATAACGTAAGGGATGTTGAGAAATAAAAACATCGTTGAAAAATAAACATCGGCATTTATCGATTTTTTAATTACCAAACCTTAGCGGCATCCCTGGTAATAATTATTATTAATGGAATTTCGCACGACCAGTCATTCTCTATGACATTTTTGATATTGGAATTAATTAAAAGTACCTCAATTTTTTTCACTTTGATTAACAATACGCTTTATACTTCAATGCAATTTTATCGCTCCATATGCAATTTTATTCGCTATGCAAACAAGTAAAAAAATGTATGTGCCACAAACCATGTGCCTTAAAAGAAAAAGAATTTACATGTGATTTATATCGTTTCGACGTAACATATTTGTCAATGGTTAAAAGAGAGGTGGAAACGAAAGGAGAAATATATATCCTGACGCTGATTGTGTAATCATCCACGAAGTTACGTCAGCTTCTTGTCGAAGCTCGTTCAAACTTCCGTCTATCTCGACGAACAACAAGCTAATTTAAAATTTCCCGATGCAGAGTAGTTTGTAAAAACTGTGCCGGCGGCGCGGCGTCGCATGAAGAATCAAGAGCTTGGCGGTCCACCCATTAAGCGGATAGAGAGGTAGGATTATTCCTCTTTGCGCAACCACGATTTAATAGTTCAAATAAAACAAAATGCAAATTGAACTTCAGTCCACTCTGCACTCCTATGAAACGCCCGCGCCGCGCCGCCTGGTTAAACTTATATCTTTGGGAAAAATGAACTTTGACTCGCGTAGCCACCTTCTGGCGTTTTAATGATCTCTTCGCGCTCTTTTCCAGGCTTAATTAGCTGATGAGGTACGATGTAAATATCCGGAGTGTATGCAAGTAACTGCGAGCTAATCTCTGTGCGTAATTACCTTTCTGTTTGCCCGAAGCGCACGCGATCTCTGATCTTTATAAATTTTCACAAATAGAATGACGTGGTAGTCGATTTAAATAATAATACGTGATATGATTTATAAAGGTAAAAGAATTGGAAAAATAGATAGAAGAGACATCGAAACCATATGTTATACTTATTGTGCGCTTCAATTATACAATGCATTGTAGATTGCGAGGAATAACATGTTACTTTGTCAATCGGAATATTATGTACTATATACAAGAGCAGAATTACACCCACAAACGACCGTGTCGGCAAGCATGGGGCGGCGATTAAACTCCATTCGTTGTAAAGAGAGTTGTGGGGAAAAGTACATTACGAAGACGCGACCGCGAGAAATGGCATGGTCGCACGCAAGAGAGTCCGAAACGATGCGAGTCTTTCCTCGAGTATTACGCCGTAATTCGCCGCAAATGGCGCAAAGCGAAATAGCGTTTCACGTAACAAATGCATCGCGATACAACGTGAGTGAATAATGCGGCGCGCAACTTGCTCCGACAACAACGGAATATTAGAGTATATTAGAGAGCGAATCGCCGTAATTCGAAATTCCGCCAGGCATGCCCAAACTCCGGAGCTATATATCACAATAGTAACAGTTCTGGACATATCGCCTTCGAGGGAAATCAATTTTCCCTCGAATATATCCAAATTACGTGACGCGCGTCGTCACGTGCAAGCAATTTGATCCTGCAAAGTCTACCGGTTATTCTGGCAATTATTTCTCTTTCGCTAGCCACGCTTAGACTTGCGGCTCTCTCTACTCTCTCTTCCTCCCTTTTCCACCCCTCCCCTCTTTCTCTCTGTCCCTTTCCATTCCAACATTCTGAAAACCATTAAAAATATCGCCGCAATTGTTCCACGGTGCAACGTATCCAATTTGCGAATTAACTGGCGCAATGCAGATCTTACTAAAAAAAATTTAGATAATTATGACTGGCGACGAATTAAAACAGATATAACATCTCCTGAATATTCTTTGAAATAGTAGCTGTTGTCCAAATAGAACACGATATTTCCTGGAAACAATTTATGTTTCATTTCCTGCTAATTGATCATTAGCGGCAATGAAATTCACGCACGTTAAATACTTTCGTTTGTTCTCTTATGGGCAGATAAGATTATAACATATGGGATGGGATTATAACATTAGAAATATGACCCCGTTTTGGTGAGAATGTTCATTTCTATAGAAGAAATTATCGATAACACCAAAGTGCAGTTTTATGTATAGGTACGTAACAATGGTTTTTTTTTTCGTAAAAAATTGCGGATTAATTTTTCAAAATTGAACTAAACCAATAATCGAACAGTGTGATATAAAAAATAGACAGAATATTCTGGAACTGTAATGATAAAATTGTGATATTATTTTATCAAACAATACATGTTACTTTTATTTTTGGGTATTAGTTATACAATTGTTTAAATTAAAACACTTTTTAAAGTATTAGTGAAAAGTTTTACACGTAGCAGATAATCTTATCAAATGGGTTAGGGTCTTTAACAACCATTGCAGAGAAAAGTGCAAGAGAGAAACGTGCAAAACTGAATAATTCGAATTTGATTGAAAAGCTGCGTTATATGCGATATGTTTATTCGGAAAGAGAAAGAAGGGAAAGAAAGGGAACGAGAGGAAATTACGCGCATAGCGCATAGCGATTATTTGCGAGCTCGTGTGGTTGCTCATTATTTTGTGATGAGGATCGATCGATCGCGCGAGTCGGAAGACTCGCCTACAAACCCGCCGGATGTTCGCCGAGCGTAAGGTATCGATGTCTGCCCTTAATTCGTCCATCACCCCTTTATTGCATCTTCCCTTCCGACAGGCGCCGTCATTACTTCACATTTATCTTCCCCCCAACTAGATGCTCCACCCAAGCTTTAAAAAAATATATGTACATATATACATATATACATATATATATATATATATATATATATATATATATATATATATATATATCGTCTAGTTCATCCGTATACATATACAGATAGGTATATACAGATGAATGCGCACACCCAGCATACACGCCGTGGCCTTTAACGCGGAGCTCTCTGTGGCGCGACACGACGAGATTTATTCGCGAAATTAGAATGGGAAAGCGCTCGTTAAAAAAGGAATGCGCGACGTTTAATTCCCGAATAAAAGCGGAACGCAATGCTTGTCCGGCGCACCGCACCTGCGACCTACGATCGGACAAGCAAGAAAAAAAAGGGAAAATAAAGAAAAACAAAAAAAAAACGAAAGAGTATGCGATACTCGGCGGTCCAAAAGCGTTTCACGATAATAAGGAGATAACGAAACGCCATTAGCGGCCGTTGTTTCCTGAAATGCGATCTCGTTGGAAGATAACAGTTTCGCTAGGGACTGCGCCCGCCTGCCTACGTGCGGGCATATGCTATTTTGCACCTCGAATCAGCATACCTAGTCCTACCTTTGACCCATTAACCATTCCGGACGGTGCGGTCATTTTAATTAACGAGATTAACAATTAACGGAAGGGAGGATATTAACGGGAAATATGGAGGATATGATTCTCTTTCCGGCAGAGTACGGATTAATTCCGTTTGGATTAGTAAATGAAACGACATTACGTTTATTCTATTTCAATGCAAATATTTTATAGATATTTTTAACATTTTTCTAAAAAAATCTCTAAATCTATAATTTTCTAAATAAGAATATCCCTTAACATCGATCTCACTCAGTAAAAGTTTCTTCAGCATTATTACATAATTTGCAAAATTGATCCATATTTTGCACAATATATTATCTTTAGATCTTTTTTCTTCTAGTTTCTTGCCTGACATTAATTTTAAAAATCATCTTTAATATAAGAGAATAATAAAAACAAGTGAATTTTAAGTGTTTACGAAATTATTTACGAAACCGTGTTCAAATATAAAAAAATGTAAATTGCTTTTTATTCCTATTACGAAGCATCAACATTACTGATAATGAGTGCAAATCTTTTATTTAATTATTGTAATATGCATTCTGTAATATTAATTACATCTCTGAATATATAATGTAAATGCATGATATAAACATAAATGATATAAACCGGTTTTCAATGCATTACATTTTCAATGCCTATCAAGAAAATGTAATAATAATAATAATAAGATCAAGATAATTATAATTCATCATATAAATAATACGTATTATGGTAAAAACTTACACATAATAAATACACGTAAATCAATATATGATGTTGTCTAAATGTACTTTTATTTCTTTTTTGAGAAATTAGTTTTGACCGCATTAGTTTTGACTTTCAGCTTCCCTCGGTAACAACTTATCAGGACAGAGGCTGAAGGTGATGAATGTTATAGTAGATTCCCTACAGCCCCAGACTAATATTACGAGCTCCCTAAGGACACGGAGATGACAAACCAAATGCAATTAAGTGCGTGTCCGTCGTAAAATCCTTCCTGTTCATCAATCCCGCCGTAATATGATCTTTTGTAAAGCAGCTATTATTAAATCACAAAAGATTTTGGTTTCTTTTGTATTGGATATTAAACCATGTTAAACCATATTACTCTTTAAATGTCAACCATAGAAATATTTTAGAATTTTAAATAATTAATTTTGTACATATTTTATTTCGTTTATAGATTATGTACAAAATTAATTATTTAAAATTCTAAAATATTTCTATGGTTG